TCTAATAAAGAACGTTGAGAATGTAGAGGGAAAAGGTCTTCCCTTTGAGCACTGTGTTTTCTTTAACTAACTGCATTTTGATTCAAACTCAATTAAATGAGAAAAAACTATTCGTTTGTGGACATTTGAGATCTGCCGAGATACATATGTACGTTTCGTTTTATTATTCTGCAATCCATGTTTAGTAATACCCGTTGGCCCGGCCCCGCCCGACTTTTCTTGGCCCGACTTTTAGGCAATCCCCTATGTGAAAGAACCACCACTATTCATACGGCTAAGTCACTATGTGAAAGAACAACCACGGCGACTTCTACAACTATGACAATACCAGGATTGCATAGGATATCAGCCCAGACAGTGAGGAACCGTTTACACGCTGAAGGTTCGAGGACCAGTTCGAGGTGTCACTTTCGTCAATGGTGTGATGGTCACCGAGTATGGCCACAACTGCGATGGAGAAAAGTTTGTTTTTATGACGAGTCGCGTTTTATGCTACGCCATGCGGACGGTAGACGTCTTGGGGAATGTCATACACGAAACTGCATACAGGAAGTGGACAGATTTGGTGGTGGTAGTGTAATGATGTGAGCAGCCATCTCCTACACTGGTGGGAAAGACTTGGTGCAAGTTCTGGGGAATTTAACGGCACAACGTTACACGGATGAGATTTTACGACCACACATCCTTCCCATGATGCAACAAGCGAACCTTTTCAACAAAACAACGCCCGACCTCGCACGGCAAGACTGGCAAAAGCTTTTTTTCAGGAATCACAACATCCAGGTCCTGCCAAGCTACTCCAGGTCTCTAGACTTAAATCCAATTAAACATTTATGGGATGCACTGAATCAACGACTGCGTCCATGTCAGCAACAACCACAGAACCTCAGACAGTTGGCACAGGCACTAAAGGCTTTGGGTTTCACCGAAGTGATAAACGCCTGAGACCTGCATCACTTAGGAGTTCCTCCCACATTAAGCTGACACGCCGCGATATAACTGTAATACTGTTAAAAGTGGCGTTAAACCCAACTCACTCACTCATTCACTCAAATTTCCTCACCAGTGTTTAAATAACCTGTCAGTAAAATAACTATAATGTCACAGATTTATATTTAAAACAAGCATACAACCATAAGAAGATATCACTATATATAACAATACATGATAAAAGCAGCTGAAGGTAGATCACCATGCTTGGGTCCATGGGGACTTATAGTACCTTAACTACCTGCATGGACTCCAGCCGGATTTACATCATCCCTTCAGGTGTTGGCGATTATTGTCAAATTCAAGCCTTTCGTGCTCAGTGACGTTCTTTATGGTCAACGTCCTTTCGTGCTCAGTGACGTTGTTTATTGTAAACGTCCTTTCGTGCTCAGTGACGTTGTTTATTGTAAACGTCATTTCGTGCTCAGTGACGTTCTTTATGGTCAACGTCCTTTCGTGCTCAGTGACGTTGTTTATTGTAAACGTCCTTCCGTGCTCAGTGACGTTCTTTATGGTCAACGTCCTTTCGTGCTCAGTGACGTTCTTTATGGTCAACGTCCTTTCGTGCTCAGTGACGTTCTTTATGGTCAACGTCCTTTCGTGCTCAGTGACGTTCTTTATGGTCAACGTCCTTTCGTGCTCACTGACGTTGTTTATTGTAAACGTCCTTTCGTGCTCAGTGACGTGCTTTATGGTCAACGTCCTTTCGTGCTCAGTGACGTTCTTTATGGTCAACGTCCTTTCGTGCTCAGTGACGTTCTTTATGGTCAACGTCCTTTCGTGCTCACTGACGTTGTTTATTGTAAACGTCCTTTCGTGCTCACTGACGTTCTATATTGTAAACGTCCTTTCGTGCTCACTGACGTTAATATTGTGTACTTTTGACCTTTATTTCAACTTTGTATTTTTTTAACCGGCGTCTCATTGTTTTGTATTCTGACCTTTAGTAGTAACATTTAGTTCTTTATTCGTAATATTTTACTTTTATTGTGTACTTTTGTCCCTTTTCTTTAACTTTGTATTTTTTAACCGAATGGCCGCCCATAATGGTGTATTGGATCGAGTAATGTAAGGTTACTTTTACAAGCTCCACCATAGATGATGGGGCCATAATCGAGTTTAGAACGATAGAAGTGATATATATATAATTGAAGGAGGGTTGACCGGTCCCCTCCCCACTTTGAATTAGAAACAACCTTTTATATAAATCCAGTGCCTTCAGACATTTCGGATATTTAATATGTGGTAAGAAAGTAAGATGATAAAAAAATATTCCTAAACATTTAGCTTCCAATACAACTTAAATTGGAGCTCCAGCTGGATGTAATTCTAGGTCCCTATTTAGTTTATATTTTCGACAGAAGTGAATGCAATTTGTTTTAGATTTAGAAAACTTAAAGCCGTTCCGCTCTGGCCAATCATTGAGTTTATTCAAAGTTGCAACGGTCTCTCAATCTTGTGCCTATTATTACTTCGACATGATACATTAAAATCGACAAACAAAGATCCGTCAACAGAGTCATTTAAAACCTCAGATAAACTATTAATTTTTATGCTAAACCAAGTTACCGATAATATGATACCACGTGGGACACCTTTATCTTGATCGTAAAAATCAAACAAGGTGGACCCCACACGAACCTGGAAATGTCTATCTATTAAAAACTAAAATACAAAATTAGGGAAATGCCTTTTCAATCCCGTTTCATGAAGATCTTTTAAAATTCCATGTTTCCAGGTCTTATCGTACGCTTTTCCTTAATCGAAAAATATTGATACCACATATTGTTTATTAATTATTGCATATTTCACAAATGTCTCCAGTCTAACCAAGTGGTCAATGGTACTTCTTTTTTTGTAAACCACATTGAATATTTTTTAAAAGATTATTGGTTTCTAAATATCATATAAGTGTGTTATTTACCATTCTTTCCATGGTCTTGCAAACACAGCTGGTAAGTGATATTGGTCTATAGTAAGAAGGATCAGTATGATCGCGGCCCGTGTTTCTGTAATGGATGTATGACAGCATTTCGCCACAATGAAGGGAAATTACCCGTTGTCCAGATATTATATAACATAGTTAACAAGGTCTCTAAACAGGAATCAGGTAAAGTAATTGATAATGAATATTATCAGAACATGTAGCAGTATCACGAGCTTGCCCTAAGGCTGTATGAAAAAGATTTCATTATAATCCTCGCCATTATCAGAATAAATATTTTATTTTTTTCTCTCTTCTTTTTTTTTTTAACTTTCTGAAATTTTTGGTATAATTTGATCAGGATGAATTTTAAGCTCAAGTTTCTCCTAATTTATTTGCTGTATCAGATTTAGCAGTTAATACTGTGTCACCATCCTTAAGATTGATTGAATTATTGTTTGTGATGTAGTTATGGATTGTGGACTAGAGGTCTGTTGTGGAGGGCTAACCTGGACTGCAGCAGACAGCAAGGTAGGAGCAGGAGCTCTTGCCCATGTGTATTCAGTCTGGCAATCGACCGAACGGCACGAAACAGTTCTAGGAACAATGGCTGGAGCTGGCGGTGGAGTTGAAGCAGAAATAGCAGCAGCATAAGACCGGCCCGTCTTTTCCTGATCAAGAACAATCTTTTTAGCATCCAGAAAAGAGATGTTACGCCCATGCTTGATTCGTGATTTTGAGCAATTTCGGACGTGATGGAAAACCAAATGTGAATAGATATGTATTTGTCTTTGTGACTTCGTTGTCTTTCCTTGCAGTAAAACGTTTAACATCAATGACATCAATGATGGTAGCTCTAAAACAATATCACTCTCAGTCATGTCAGAGAGGCAGCGTCCAAGATCACGGACGATGCTTTTACTGTTGTTCAAAGTCCTATGGTTTTGTAGAATGTACAATTTTGGATTGAATTTGTTTAATGCATTCGATCAATAGATGTCCAGATCGTAGTTTTTTTAGTCTCTTTGACATCTCCAACTACTTCTTCGATGCCCTTTCTACGACAAAAGGATTCAACTTTACAGGACAGCCATCCAGAGAAGTCAGGACAAGAGTGAGTGAGTGAGTATGGTTTTACGCCGCTTTCAGCAATATTCCAGCAATATCACGGCGGGGGACACCAGAAATGGGCTTCACACATTGTACCCACGTCGGGAATCGAACCCGGGTCTTCGGCGTGACGAGCGAACGCTTTAACCACTAGGCTACCCGACCGCCTCGTCATGACAAGAAATCGTGCCCAATTATCAGGGTTATGGAGTGTCAACATGGACGATGGCCCTACTCTGTGGACCTCCAACAGACATCACCAATAATGCCAGGACGGTATACTCAAGCAGAAATATATCTTGAAAAAGATACAAACTACCAGATTGGCCCATGAGCCACTGCCTTCTGGCACTGGCATCTTGGCAAATTTTGATTAAACAAGTATAGTCAAAATCAGTTTAAATGATTATTCAAGCAATTCGATCAGAAAAATAACAAGCCAGTGAGCGAACAAGAAAGTAAAGTGCTCCGGGCTTGGCATGACCAGGCGATTGATAGGACCGGGCCCATCCTACCACCCGTCTAGGCAAAGTAAGAGGCGAAGTGGTGTATTGGGCAAAGGAATGCTATTCCTGGAACCAGACCCTTCAACCACCAGACTCCCGTCCTCCGCGGACACAGGGGCGCAATCCACAGCAAACAGGTTGCACAATTTGGTCACCTTTTATACCAGCTATGGGGTGCTGAGGACACACTCTATACTACCCCGGGTCCCCACGGGTATTCTGGTTGCAAGACTTGGTGACTTGGTTGATTGACTTTGTACCTAATAGAAATCATTGGATTATCATGTCCAGATTATCTACAACCAGTCTGTAATAGATGGAATATTGTGGACTGTGGCGTGAAACAAGAAACTCATCGGTCAGTGGCGTGAAACAAGAAACTCATCGGTCAGTAGAAGAATATTATGTCCCTAAAACTACAACTGCTATTTTCCTCCACGGTTTCAGACAGACAAAAACGCAAGATGATGTCAGGATGAGGTATAAGAGTTTATTATACTTCTGCATCAATCTTGGACAGTTTATAATACACAAACAGTATAAGTCGAGCTTGCTCAGAACCTGGCTTAACCACAAAACATATGAACACCTACATCAGCATCAGAAGACAGTACTGCCAGCTAGGCTCAGTTAGGTGTTTCTGCAGAGACAATGGTTGTCTTCATAATAGGGCTCTGGCTTGAAGGAGAAGATGTGGCTATGTGATATCTTGCTTAACTTCACCCATCCTTGGATCACATGACAAGAGATGGCATAATCTGTATTGCACCTAACCTGAATACAAACTAGAGCCACAAGGCTTTGTAGCTCACCTACATTCTGAAGAAATAATGTCTCAAGTCGGGTTGGAATTCTGTGTGCAATTTCTAGCAGGGATCATTCAAACAATGAGTGAGTGAGTGAGTGAGTGAGTTGGGTATAACGCCGCTTTTAATAGTATTACAGTTATATCACGGCGTGTCCACTTTATGTGGGAGGAAAGCCCGAAGTGATGCAGGTCTCAGACGTTTATCACTTTGGTGAAACCCACGAGCACGGGTATGGTGCTGACAAACCTAGAAACATAATCGGGGCAAACCCGGGATTCGAACCCACAATCATAGGTTTCTGGTGTGCCCAAGGGACGCAACTCTGCACAGCAAATTGCGGCGCCTCAGACGATTGGGTCACCCGTGCCCCCTTCAAACAACGAAGTTTCAGCAGCTTAGGCCATAGAGTTTCAGAGAAAATGTCAAACAGTAGAAATGCAGGTGTATGTGAAGGTCAAGGCTCTGAGTTTGATCAAATATCAAACGATGCCCACAATCGTCTGTTATTCCATAGTATATATTTCCTGCATTTCAAATCGGTTGATTTTTCCAGGACATTGACTGATTGTTATTCATCATGTCCTAAAGTTTTCTTTCAAATTTAGTAATGACATAGAAGAAAGTTGATAAAATCATGAGACCCAATGCAATTTATCTCTAGGTACATGACTGCATTCAGTTCCATAGGCCTTGTAGTTTCAGAGATGTTAAAAGTGTTAGGGTTAACGATAGATGGACGATGGACAATGCCAAATAGGTGAGCTAAAAATTTAGCTCACCAGATACTTTCAACATTAACCGGTAGGTTGCTGAAAATTACTCATTCTGAAAGGAGTATTTATCTTACCAAAAAGTGAGTTGGGTTTCAAGCAAGGATACAATGGGTGTACTTAACATGCAACACATTTCAGTAATATTGCTGAGTGTCCGCTCAATGTGGAAGTCCAAAGTGATACAAGCTTGAGACATTTACCCCTTTCGTGAAATTATGATCGTTCATCATCCAGTGAAAATCTGTTCTGTTACATCTGCAACCATAGCATCTGTCTATGAAGGGCTTCATCTGATGAGGCCTGAATTCAGGAGGAAGATCTATGCTAAACACTCATTCAGAAAAGATATCATAATTGTTGTTAGTGAGCTAGAAAATAATCTGTGCTGTTAGTGATGGAGATGATGTGGCCACTTCTGAAACTAAACTTTAGTGGCAAACAAGTCCAGGCTATATATCGTAACAGAATGAAAACAATAGCTGGATAATCAAATACGAGTATGGTGTTGACAAACCCAAGGATCATTATTAACAATTATTGACTAAAATGACATAATTCTGGATAGCGAATTGTGGCATCTTAGTCAACTGGACTACCAGTGCAACCCAATATTTCAAAGAGAACTTCAAGCCAATGTTACACCTGTTTGAGGATATTATGAGACTAATACTGTAACAAGTAATCTGAGGTAATGAAGACTATTGCATCAGGTCGTCTGGGAAACACTTTGGATATAATAAAAGGACAACAGATCCCATAAATCTCTTGATCAAAATACAAATTTCCGTAGTCATCAAAAAGTTTGCAAATCCTGATTATTTCATTAAAAATATTGATATCTAACCACGCAAATGGTTTGCCCCTTAAATAGAATGAAATACGATAATACTAAACATGAGGAAGGCTTCATTTACATATGTGGGCGGAAAACATTCAATTCTCACTTCGTCCTGCATTAGATATCCGAGTTTTGCATTATTTGCATAAAATGAATGTCCTGATCAAACAAGTGATGACATTAGGTCCCCTTTATGCTCAGCCATATTGGCCCATCAACAATTGTGTAGTACACTACATGGCCTGCCTCCGCAAGCAACAACAGCAGCAGCAGCATAGTTGGGACCAGATCCCACCTGGACATGTTCCACACACAGCAAAACTGTCGCCATTAGATTAATTTGGATCAGTCATCCATAGTGAATAAACTATTCATTAAAACTGTGGGTGATTTGGAGGGTTTTGTTCAATATTCTATAGTGCCAGCCCAGATACCATGCCACAGCTTAACAGGAATGCTCCACTTAGACACAGTATACTGCCTCCAAGGCGACCACTCCTTGTTTTTACTCCTTAATGCCAAGTGCCAGGCTGGGTAACAACAAGAACCATCTTTTAACATCAATTGGAATCACGCAGCCGGGTATTGAACCCCTGACCTTCCACTCTCTGGGCAGACGCTGTATCCAGTACACCCCGGGGGCGGTCTTGTTTGACCAAGAAGGCTACAGTAACAGTGTTCACAAAAATTCAAACAAATCCTACATATTGAACCAACCACCTCAGTTTTCTAATGGAACATTCCTTTTAAGGAATCAAACATTTCACTTTCAAACTCTTTTCTCACCATCAAATAGATAACACAAGAACCCATGTCCAATGATCTGTCTGTGGTTAAGTAAGCTCCAACTATGCCAAGATTAAACACAGGATTACTGACTGCCTCATAGCGAAGCTGTAGTAAGTACTGACAAATTAAGTACAAAGTTCTGGGTCCTTACCTAAAGAAGCAAACATATAAGAACTGGGAAGACTAGCAAAGAAGAGCCATGTGTTTCAGAACAAATTCAATTGTAAAAACCTACTGAAAGACAGTTTTGGCATGTAGGCAGAATTTGTATTGGCACACATTGAATAAGCAAATAATAAAGAAAATGTCCAACGTAAAACTTCCAAGGTAGTGGGTGCTTTGTTGTTTTACTGAATAAGGGAAACAAATCTGCAACATTGACAGGACGGACTTCATTCACAGAGTCCAGTGGTGCCAGGAGAAGAACACACTTCATGCTGTCAGTCCCAGAAAGTACAACACATTCAGACCTATCAACAAACAAATCTATGATATGTCAAAACAGACAGAAATGTGAATGTTACTTATCAAAAGATCAAATCACTGAACTATTCATCGAGGTTCGCACACTGTCCTATTATTATCTACATCTGTTACAGCAAAACAAGACACTCAGAAAACATGGATCATCCAACAGTGTTGTAGCTTTCAGTAAATTCAAACTCATTAAAATCTGATCCAAGTTATAGCCGCTGCTAAACAAAGATCTGAGGACATCCCATTACGGGTCATGTCAGAACAACCTTTCGCGAACTTTGACCGACCACTGAAATGACTAACAAGAAGTTAACATCAGCCAATTAGAAAGCAGCTTTCTCGAGCTTTACGGCACTTGTTTCAACCTGGCAACTTCAATTTCAGACTACTCTTGTAAATTTATTGACACAGTTCTCGATTAAATTTTGAAAACTGAAAAAACATTCCGGAATGTCTAATATATGGTTGAGATTGTATAGCAGTGCTTCCCACATACTGTGCAACACCTCCTCCGTTCAAATGTTTATCCCACGGAAGAGAGAGCGATAGACGATAATCTTGACGGAATCAGTCGTATGGCCATAACTGTCGTTCAGGATACCCCGTGTTAATGTTTTTGAGGTTGCATGATTAAAAAACACATTCCGACTGTCGCTTTCATGATCTGGTAAGCGACACTTTGATCGGTCAAATGAAAGGTCGTTCTGACGTGACATGTGGATGTCCTGAGATCTTTGTTTAGTGATAGCGAGAAGTAAGATCTGATTTAAATGAGATTGCAGTAAATTGGTCTATTTGTGCAAATTTGACAAACGACATCCACATCTTTTAGGACACATCCCAGTCTTTTATATTGGTAGACATGACATTGTAAGTACAGCTTAAGCTTCTTTGTTTCTCCTACACAGTCTTTGCAAAGGACTTAAACTTCAGGAAGCTGTCATTTGGCTGACAGGTTTGGTGCCCCCCCCTACAGTTGTCCATGTTTGTGACATTCTACATAGGCTTGTCAGGTTTTATGAGAACCTCCTTGTGTGATTTTTCGGACACTGATAAACAAATAGTCATTTTCCAATATTTTAGAGCTTACGGAATGTCCATATTTATATTGTGTAGACTTTTAAGACGACGCATCAAGCTGGAGTAGTATTTATGCATGAATTGTACACAGATCCAAATTATTCCTTTCAGTTAATTCTAGGGCCTGTGCTTAGTGTTACAATTATGAGACAAGCTGGACTGGGAGTAAAACAGTGTGGTATTTAATATGCACCAAAATCATCACTTCTGTCCTAAATAAGAACATTTTAACCGTGACAATGTAACATACACTGTCATAAAAAGCACCTCCAGTAATAAATGCATAATGTTCATTAAACATAAATATAATTTGTGTAACCATGGTGACGGTGCCATATGTTCAAACTGATGACATGTTGCAAAATAGTAACAATGTACAACTGTGTCAAACTAGAAATCAATTATGCTGACTCAGAACAAATTCCAGATGGCGTTATACCGTAAACCCTTTAAAAAGTGCCAGGCTTATATTAATTTGGGAAGTCCCTTGGACCTAGTGTTATTTATTAAGGCTGGGATATATCTATTGCATAGAGGCATTTGCAACAAGCTTTTTCAATATTGTTTCAAATGGTTCTACTCGATGTTTCAAAAACTTCAAGTGAACACAAATGTTCACATTTTGGGATACAACTATTGAAAATATACCCCCCTTGAAACAATACCTTTCGCATGTTCTTAAACGAGAAGTTTTAAAAGGGGGTAAAAATGTAATAATTTTTTTCACTCTCACATTTAAACCAGGTGTTTGTTTGTTCAATGATTTTCAGTACAGTAATAATGTTTATTTATTATACAACTGTCTAGGTAACCACTGCTTGTACGCCAGTGAGGCTCTGGAAGGGAGTGAGGTAGGCAAGCTGCCAACAGTAGTGAGTGACTGGCCTCTGAAGTGCATGCACCTCATATCCAGGTCCAGCACTGTGAAATGTCTCCAAGTTCATTAATAACTTCCAACAATATTTCATCCAATTTCAGCATTATGAGGTAAGGTGAGCACCGGGACAAGGGTGTTGGGGGTACAGGGACTTTGCCATGTTACTGTCCCTCATCGTCTTGCATACAGGTCTTGTCAATGGGCCAGCTCCTGAGGTGGGTAACGGGCCAATTAGGAAGGAATGAAGAAATGAATGGATGAATGAGAGTATTGTGTGAGTAGAATTCAATCACAGCACATACTGCACTGTTTATCGAAATGCTTAAGATATTCTTCAATTTCATTGCAATAATCAGTCCGGGGTTTCGACTAAAATAATTTGTATGTGGCAAATCAGACGAAATCTGGGGAAGATGTTTTTAGTTTATGTCGCAGTGCCCTGCTAAAAAAAAGCCTACTGACCAACTTCTAGACCAATCTGTAAGTAATCATTTTAAGTGGCCTATATAATATGTACAGGGTAGTCCATATTTTCCTGTGCATATTAAACATTTTCTACAGAAAAAATCAGCAGTTAAGAAGGGGGGATATAATTGCCTCGTAATTATTATCGAAAAAGCTTTAGTTTCTCGCAATGTTTGCACTAAGTTCCTTCCATCGATCTCTGAAATAATATCTGACTTGTTGTGTATGGTTATAAGACACACACACACCCCACACACACACAAAATCCTGTGTCAACAAAAGGGATATTCATTGCCCTACTCATCTTACAATAGGATCCATAACCATTATCACATACTTATATCAATACCAATATTAAGAGCTCTGGTTCTGCTGATTGTTATAACAATAGATACTTTTATCCTTCTGATTTCATAGCAGGGATGTACGTTGTTTAGAAGGTTATCATCGCACGTCAGTTTAATGTGGGAGGATAGTCACCAAGCATGGCCAAGAATTTTTTACAAAAGAATAATTTTATCCAGAAAACACTTGCAAAAATATCTTTGCCTTGGGTTTACCCCAATATTGTTCACAGGCTGGTTGGTCATGAAGAGGACTCCCCATATACGTCAGTAGTGAAGTGAAGGGAAAACACAGCAGACAACGTTAATCCTGGAGACCATGCCAGAAGATCCTGGAGACCATGCCAGAAGATCCTGCATCAAGTCCCCACAGAGATCTGTAATGTGAAACATCTCATACCCTCCCAACCCTGGCGTCACAAACCACACTTTCTACCAAGTCTGGCCCCAAACATTCGCAGGCAACGTCCTGCATTCATTGTACTTCCAGTCATGCTGCCTTAGGTTAGCTGTGTCTCCAAAACAGAGTTATTAGACGGGAGGGAAAGGGGAAAACAGATAACATTAGCATGCTTGCAACAGCTAGGCTAAACCATAGACACCATCAGACTAAACAAACTGTATCATATATCAACGTTACATAACAAACGACTAATTACAAATGTCATGGGACATACTTGGTCATAATGTAACCTCGTGTTTTGTCACGGTGGAGACAATAATCTGTACAGACTAATAAACAGTTCAATATGAAAAATTCTTGGAGCCATGTCAAGCCTGTATATAGGAGCCATGTCAAGCCTGTACCTAGAGCCATGTCAAACCTGTATGTAGGAGCCATGTCAAGCCTGTACCTAGAGCCATGTCAAGCCTGTATATAGGAGCCATGTCAAGCCTATACATAGAGCCATGTTAAGCCTGTATATAGGAGCCATGTCAAGCCTGTATATAGAGCCATGTCAAGCCTGTACATTGGAGCCATGTCAAGCCTGTACATAGGAGCCATGTCAAGCCTGTATATAGGAGCCATGTCAAGCCTGTATATAGGAGCCATGTCAAGCCTGTACATAGAGCCATGTTAAGCCTGTATATAGGAGCCATGTCAAGCCTGTACATAGGAGCCATGTCAAGCCTGTATATAGGAGCCATGTCAAACCTGTATATGGGAGCCATGTCAAGCCTGTACATAGAGCCATGTCAAGCCTGTATAAAGGAGCCATGTCAAGCCTGTACATAGGAGCCATGTCAAACCTGTATATATAGGAGCCATGTCAAGCCTGTACATAGGAGCCATGTCAAACCTGTATATATAGGAGCCATGTCAAGCCTGTATATAGGAGCCATGTTAAGCCTGTACATAGGAGCCATGTCAAACCTGTATATATAGGAGCCATGTCAAACCTGTACATAGGAGCCATGTCAAGCCTGTATATATAGGAGCCATGTCAAGCCTGTACATAGGAGCCATGTCAAGCCTGTATATAGGAGCCATGTCAAGCCTGTACATAGGAGCCATGTCAAGCCTGTACATAGGAGCCATGTAAAGCCTGTACATAGAGCCATGTCAAGCCTGTATATAGGAGCCATGTCAAGCCTGTATATGGGAGCCATGTCAAGCCTGTATATAGAGCCATGTCAAGCCTGTATATAGGAGCCATGTCAAGCCTGTACATAGAGCCATGTTAAGCCTGTATATAGGAGCCATGTCAAACCTGTATATATAGGAGCCATGTCAAGCCTGTACATAGGAGCCATGTCAAGCCTGTACATAGGAGCCATGTTAAGCCTGTATAAAGGAGCCATGTCAAGCCTGTACATAGAGCCATGTCAAACCTGTATATAGGAGCCATGTCAAGCCTGTACATAGGAGCCATGTCAAGCCTGTACATAGGAGCCATGTCAAGCCTGTATATGGGAGCCATGTCAAGCCTGTACATAGGAGCCATGTCAAGCCTGTACATAGGAGCCATGTCAAGCCTATACATAGGAGCCATGTCAAGCCTGTACATAGGAGCCATGTCAAACCTGTATATAGGAGCCATGTCAAGCCTGTACATAGGAGCCATGTCAAGCCTGTACATAGGAGCCATGTCAAGCCTGTACATAGGAGCCATGTCAAGCCTGTATATAGGAGCCATGTCAAGCCTGTATTTGGGAGTCATGTCAAGCCTGTATATAGGAGCCATGTCAAGCCTGTATATGGGAGCCATGTCAAGCCTGTACATAGGAGCCATGTCAAGCCTGTACATAGGAGCCATGTCAAGCCTGTATATAGGAGCCATGTCAAGCCTGTATATAGGAGCCATGTCAAGCCTGTACATAGGAGCCATGTCAAGCCTGTACATAGGAGCCATGTCAAGCCTGTATATAGGAGCCATGTCAAGCCTGTACATAGGAGCCATGTCAAACCTGTATATAGGAGCCATGTCAAGCCTGTACATAGGAGCCATGTCAAACCTGTATATATAGGAGCCATGTCAAGCCTGTACATAGGAGCCATGTCAAGCCTGTATATAGGAGCCATGTCAAGCCTGTACATAGGAGCCATGTCAAGCCTGTATATAGGAGCCATGTCAAACCTGTATATATAGGAGCCATGTCAAACCTGTATATATAGGAGCCATGTCAAGCCTGTACATAGGAGCCATGTCAAGCCTGTACATAGGAGCCATGTCAAGCCTGTACATAGGAGCCATGTCAAGCCTGTATATAGGAGCCATGTCAAGCCTGTACATAGAGCCATGTCAAGCCTGTATATATAGGAGCCATGTCAAGCCTGTATATATAGGAGCCATGTCAAGCCTGTACATAGGAGCCATGTCAAGCCTGTACATAGGAGCCATGTCAAACCTGTACATAGGAGCCATGTCAAGCCTGTACATAGGAGCCATGTCAAGCCTGTACATAGGAGCCATGTCAAGCCTGTACATAGGAGCCATGTCAAGCCTGTACATAGGAGCCATGTCAAGCCTGTACATAGGAGCCATGTCAAACCTGTACATAGGAGCCATGTCAAGCCTGTACATAGGAGCCATGTCAAGCCTGTATATAGGAGCCATGTCAAGCCTGTATATAGGAGCCATGTCAAGCCTGTACATAGGAGCCATGTCAAGCCTGTACATAGGAGCCATGTCAAGCCTGTATGTAGGAGCCATGTCAAGCCTGTACATGGGAGCCATGTCAAGCCTGTACATAGGAGCCATGTCAAGCCTGTACATAGGAGCCATGTCAAACCTGTATATATAGGAGCCATGTCAAGCCTGTACATGGGAGCCATGTCAAGCCTGTACATAGAAGCCATGTCAAGCCTGTACATAGGAGCCATGTCAAACCTGTATATATAGGAGCCATGTCAAGCCTGTACATAGGAGCCATGTAAAGCCTGTACATAGAGCCATGTCAAGCCTGTACATAGGAGCCATGTCAAGCCTGTACATAGAGCCATGTCAAGCCTGTACATAGGAGCCATGTCAAGCCTGTACATAGGAGCCATGTCAAGCCTGTATATAGGAGCCATGTCAAGCCTGTATATGGGAGCCATGTCAAGCCTGTATATAGGAGCCATGTCAAGCCTGTATATAGGAGCCATGTCAAGCCTGTATATAGGAGCCATGTCAAACCTGTATATATAGGAGCCATGTCAAGCCTGTACATAGGAGCCATGTCAAGCCTGTACATAGGAGCCATGTCAAGCCTGTATATAGGAGCCATGTCAAACCTGTATATAGAGCCATGTCAAACCTGTATATATAGGAGCCATGTCAAGCCTGTACATAGGAGCCATGTCAAGCCTGTACATAGGAGCCATGTCAAGCCTGTACATAGGAGCCATGTCAAGCCTGTATATAGGAGCCATGTTAAGCCTGTACATAGGAGCCATGTCAAGCCTGTATGTAGGAGCCATGTCAAACCTGTATATATAGGAGCCATGTCAAGCCTGTACATAGGAGCCATGTCAAGCCTGTACATAGGAGCCATGTCAAGCCTGTACATAGAGCCATGTCAAGCCTGTACATAGAGCCATGTCAAACCTGTATATATAGGAGCCATGTCAAGCCTGTACATAGGAGCCATGTCAAGCCTGTATGTAGGAGCCATGTCAAACCTGTATATATAGGAGCCATGTCAAGCCTGTACATAGGAGCCATGTCAAGCCTGTACATAGGAGCCATGTCAAGCCTGTACATAGGAGCCATGTCAAGCCTGTATATAGGAGCCATGTCAAGCCTGTATTTGGGAGTCATGTCAAGCCTGTATATAGGAGCCATGTCAAGCCTGTATATGGGAGCCATGTCAAGCCTGCATATAGGAGCCACATCAACATTGTATATAGGCTGAGCAAGTGCAAAATAAACATTTTCTAATTTTCATTTGAAATATTTCAATATTTGATGCTTTGTTAACAGCTTCCACTCTTGATTGAGAAAATGTCAAGCAAAGTGAGCTGAATCATTCACAATTGACATGACTGATATGATGATCGACATTACAAGCAAATCATGATTGACAATATCAGTAAGATATTCATAAAACATTTAAAAGTGTGAAAATGTTCTCAATGAAAAAATGATATATAATGGAAAATAGTTATATTTCATTCAGATATTCTATATTTGTTAAATACGTAGCCAATGTTAGGTTTCCAACCAATGCGATGCCATTGACCAAGTGGGATGAAAGACGAGACTATTGCAACTTTACCAACGAAGGACCACGCATGCCATTTCAAAAACTCACAAAAACAGCACACTATCCATAAACGACGACTCCTACCTTTAATCGTAAGCGCTATTTGTAGATAAATTGTACATAAAATAGTATAAGTTAGCTATACAAAACACATGACAAGATTCAACAATGACTATGTAGACATGATAACAGCACTTGTGAAAGTGAACATGGTATAAATGACCTTGACCTACAATCAACATAGTCATATCACTTAAACAAATTATGAGAACATTATACAAGTTGAGGCCACAATAAACTGATCAATTGTTTGTTAGATTTTTTTTTTTTAAATAACCAGAAAAATATTTGAAATATATTTGATATAAAATATTTGATTTGAAAAAATCGTGAATTATCAGCAACTGAATGAAAATTGAACACACTATTACTTTTGACACACTTTCAACAGCCACTGATAACTCAAAGAAGATGTTTCTATGTGTCTGAGATGGTGTTTCAATCTGGTGGTTATGAAAACACAGAAATGCAAGAATTCACCGAGTGATACATTCAAGCCATCACCAGAATTGTTACAATCAGTCCCCACTGCATTCTGTGGCCAAAAGAAAAGACAATTTCGGCGGTCAATTTTTTAATTCCCGCAATCACATTTTGGTAATTCTGTATTTTTTCTTAGTTTCCGTTAATTTCATATTTTTGCATCTGTTTGACTTGTGACAGGCATGGTTTTATAATCTAATCCACGGCTAGAATAGCTTATTGAAGCGAATCTGGAGATCACTAAGGTAAACATACAGACATGTACTTTCAGTAACCAGTGATACAAAAGCCAACTTCACGTCAAAACAAAATAAATATTCATTACACGTTTGAAACAAGCGTTCCTTGACAAAGTTCCTCGGCAGATAAATTCTGAACAAGTTCTGCACAAAACATGATTCTCTGCAAGAAACATACATTTTTGAACCGAGTGGGCATTTTTGCAAAATATTCCGCGACCACGGAATCTTGGAATACAGCGGGGACAATGGACAATGTACAATGGACAATACAGAAGAAATATCTCATGGTCATACCTTAAATTATCTGTGAATCATAGTGCACTTTTACCCTTTCATCTCAGTATATGAACTCACAATGCAGTGTCATGTGCTCTTGTATCGTGACATTAACAAACAAGTAATCAACCTGTTGTGGCCTCATCCAATCTACACACAACAGATTCAGTGTGTGTCCAATGTTTGCATACAGTTTGTATATCAGCAAGAAACCGTGCAGAAAGCACCATTATGCTCTTTTGTATATAACTAACAAGATGGCTATATAGAGAGTATCTTGTTCCTTGTTGCTGTGAACTAGACATTGAGTTCCAGTAGATACAAGATGCACTGAATTGGATACAAGTTTTGACCCCATTCAACAAAGCGATCTTAGCACGAAGATGATTGTAACTCCCATACTTTAACATTGACCTATGAGAGTCAGAGTACTAAGCTTTTTTTATAGAACAGGGCCCTGTTCCACAAAGCCCTCATAGCACTACGACTGTCATCTGTGTTAAAGTATTAAGTTAAGTCATCTTAGCCCTAAGATCTCTTTGTGAAACAGTGCCCAGTAGATACCTCTGAATTAAGTAGAACAAGGCTCAGATGATGTATTTAGCAATTATTTGGATTAAGATCCATAGGACAAAAATTCCAAAAGGGTTGAATATAACTAACATTTTGAGTTTGACTGCGTTTGTTTGAGTCTGTCAGGGTATGAAAGTATTGAATGAGGTTAGAGAATAATGGAAGGGAAGGAACCCTTTGAACTGACATTTTAAAAAAACCAATTTAGTTGTTTTCTTGCCTTCTGACATTACCCTTCAGAGACATCATCAAAATTTTATTTTCATTTTGACCACAAGCTTTAGCCAATTTATTAGCCAAACTTATTCTGCAAACAAACTGATTCATAAAAAAGCCCCAGAATCTATTAAGAAAAAAGTCTATCTCACATTGCAAAAACTGTTTTGATGTTTTCAAAATAGGAAGAAATATGGTTAATTTTATAAGTCTTTGCATAACAAGCATGATTAATACATACTTAGTGTATATGATAATGGCAGATTAACGAGCACATATATATATGTATATTTACTAAAACTATCTGATAGTTTCAAATCTTAGAAAATAGTGATTTATAAAAAACATTCACTTCAACAATCAGCTGAAATGAGGCTTTATTAATTTCATAGGAATGTCAAAAACACGGAACCCGAATCCATTACTCAGCACTAATCATTAGCATCACTTGAAATCACAACACAAAATATACCTACATTAGATTTACTGCATAATGGAATGACTCAGGCTTCAGCAATCAGATGATGTCTCGGATGTTTCAAGCGAGTACATTTCACAAAACATGACCCTTTACATCCAAACAGACAAAAAGTGGGAGAAGATATTACATTTTAATGTACACGACTTACAGAACTACAGGAGTATGTCGTTATTCTCAAGAGTATATCGCCAACAGGGCTGTGATGGACATACTGAAATTAATGATACATCACAATACCCTATGCCACGATACGCTTTGCCAAGATCTGCTGTGCCACAATACACTTTGCCACATTATGCTTTGGCATGATACACACTGTCACGATACGCTTTGCTAAGATCTGCTGTGCCGCGATACACTTTGCTAAGATCTGTATCATGATACATTTTGTCAAGATCTGCTGTGCCATGATATACTTTGCTAAGATCAGCTGTTTCATGATACACTTTGCTAAGATCCACTGTGCCACGATACACTTAGTCAAGATCTGTATCACGATTTATGTTACTAAGATCCACTGTGCCATGATACACTTTGCTAAGATCCACTGTGCCACGATACGCTTTGTCCATATCTGTATCACGATTTATGTTACTAAGATCCACTGTGCCATGATACACTTTGTTAAAATGCGCTGTATCACGATACGCTTTGTCCATATCTGTATCACGATTTATGTTACTAAGATCCACTGTGCCATGATACACTTTGTTAAGATTGCTGTGTCACGATACATGCATCTATACAGTACAAATGAAGGTATGATGTTTTACATATGAAGATGAAGTGTAAAATACTATCTCCAGGTGGTATGTACAAGAGGTCAGAAGCCAGTGAATATGATAAAAACATTGCTAAACCTGTCCCAAAAAATAATTTGGTTGTCTCTGGTCATTCTCTTCAATAAAAGAAAACTTAAAATGCCATGAGGTTGTACGTATGGAATGATGCATCGTGACTATTGAGAAACGCATCGTGATTACTAAGAAACGCATCGTGACTATTGAGAAACGAATCGTGACTACTGAGAAACGAATCGTGACTATTGAGAAACGCATCGTGACTATTGAGAAACGCATCGTGATTACTAAGAAACGCATCGTGACTATTGAGAAACGAATCGTGACTACTGAGAAACGAATCGTGACTATTGAGAAACGCATCGTGACTATTGAGAAACGCATCGTGACTACTAAGAAACGCATCGTGACTATTGAGAAACGAATCGTGACTACTGAGAAACGCATCATGACTATTGAGAAATGCATCGTGACTATAAGGCTTAAAAAGATAATAGAATTGGTTCTCAGGCAATGGCTTTTGAATTTTTTGTGCCGGCAGGCAGTGGTATTTATTTTGTTGTTCCAGCTATTATGTAACCAAAACCTTTTTACATTAATTTCGGGGAAATCTTGTTGTTTTTAAGCTTTTGAGCATTTAACTGCCGGGGTCATATGTTTGAGAAGCGGAATATTTAAAGATATTTTATATTTTTTTTAAAATGGAAATAAAAACGAAACATGCAGAAGATCTCATGATGATGTGGGTGGTGCCTGAGAACCTAGACTATTATTTTTTTTAAACAAATCATGACTACCGAGAATGGCATGACATGACTATAGAGAAACCTTTACTATGACTATCAAGAAAAATATGTCTGTCAAGAAACGTATCAAGACTATCGAGAAACATATCATGAATATCGAGAAACATATCGTGACTATCGAGAAACATATCGTGACTATCGAGAAACATATCATGACTTTCGAGAAACATATCATGACTATCGAGAAACATATCATGACTATCGAGAAACATATCGTGACTATCGAGAAACATATCGTGACTATCGAGAAACATATCATGACTTTTGAGACTATCGAGAAACATATTGTGACTATCGAGAAACATATCGTGACTATCGAGAAACATATCGTGACAAAGTATATTGTTGCAGGCTAACAGCTCTAAGTCCTGTACTATCATGACTGGTGGTTTGAACACAAACATGTTCAACTTTTGTCTCACTTTAAGGACACAAAAATAAATTAAACATAAATAAATGTTCTGAATGCACTATTAGTCAGCGACAGGGTACGGGGTAAAACTAACACGCAACACTATCCTGAATGACTGGAAACACTGCAGCACATCCAGTTTCAAGAAACTTGACTAGAGCTACACTACTTTCCAAAATAAACATCCCCTGAAATCAAATGAGCCAAAGATGTGATAGGGGAGACATTTGTTTTGAACAGTAGTGTGTATGATTAATTTTACTTTCCGACACCCCTGAATCTATTATTACAACACAAATAGGTTATAATAACATATACATATATGTGATATATCTTATACCTTAATCTCATATCTAAATTCTGATTATTTACAATTTCAACTTTCTGTACCATTGTTCTTATAAATAAAACATAAACAAATATTTTCAAGTGCCTTAAACTAGTGTCTGTACTACATGAAGGTCAAGGTCAAAAGGTGCCCTGTCTCATCAGGGACCTAGAATAGAAAACTCCCAGGCCTGGTCAGTCAGTGGACAGAAGACTGGAAGGCATGGTCAGTTTGCTGGGACTACAGTCCGGACTGAGGTATGGCATGAAGAGGTCACAGGTCAAGGCAGACTTGCTGAGCACTTGCTTGTCAGTCAAGCACCCCCATTTGCATAGAGCGGATGATTCTCAAAGCTTTCTTGGCAGCAGCACTCTTTGCGATTCTGTAGTTGCGACCAATACCACTGAAGACTCCCTTGCCCACCACATTCACTGTCACTCGGATCTTCCCTTCCATTGTGCGTTCTGGTTTCCTGTAAACAGACGGGTCACACTAACGCTGTGTCCTTTATACATAAGCAAACCATATACACATCACAGAAACATCTTTTTATTTGTTTGTTTATTGTTTAATGCTCACTAGCAATAATCCAGTTAAATAACTTGAAACGCCCTGTAAATAATCAAATCTGGACAAGATATGATGGGGTATGATGACACACAATCCAACAAGTCACCAAGCCTAACGATCCAAACCAATGAGTCCCCTTTTACAACCAGCATAGGTTACAACCAGCACAGGTTACAACCAGCACAACTTACAACCAACATGGGTTACAACCAGCACAGGTTACAACCAGCAATGGTTACAACCAGCATGGGTTACAACCAATACAACCAGCAATGGTTACAACCAGCATGGGTTACAACCAGCAATGGTTACAACCAGCATGGGTTACAACCAATACAACCAGCATAGGTTACAACCAATACAACCAGCATGGGTTACAACCAGCATAGGTTACAACCAATACAACCAGCACAGGTTACAACCAGAATCTAACTGGACAATTCACTGCATACAGGGGAGACAACTCACTCGAACTTGGCTGTCTCTGGTTCCAGCTCCAATAGCTCCCTCACAGGAGACTTGGGGATGCTCTTCAGATACTTTTCTAGAATTACATGAAAACATATCGTGATCTTTAGGTGATTTATAACATGAACTGTCTACATGGTTTAGGCTTCACTGTTTCTTTTTCAAAGTACCACAAATAACCTAATGACAGTGACCATGCCTAAATAGCACAGTTATCTTAGGACACACTTTACACTCTTCTGAAACTTGAAAGATAATACACGTATATGAGAAATAAAATATGTACATTAACATGCATCCTCAAGTTAATGGTAATAATGCCACAATGTGTAACATTCATCCTCAAGTTAATGGTAATTATGCCACAATGTGTAACATGCATCCTCAAGTTAATGGTAATAATGCCACAATGTGTAACATGCATCCTCAAGTTAATGGTAATTATGCCACAATGTGTAACATGCATCCTCAAGTTAATGGTAATAATGCCACAATGTGTAACATGCATCCTCAAGTTAATGGTAATAATGCCACAATGTGTAACATGCATCCTCAAGTTAATGGTAATAATGCCACAATGTGTAACATGCATCCTCAAGTTAATGGTAATAATGCCACAATGTGTAACATGCATCCTCAAGTTAATGGTTATTATGCCACAATGTGTAACATGCATCCTCAAGTTAATGGTTATTATGCCACAATGTGTAACATGCATCCTCAATGCCTCCCTCTTCCAGTGTCGTTAAATAGGTTAGTGAGGATATATTCTGGTCTAATCACAGGTAATCAGGTAGCAACCATATCAAGTTCCTCAAAATGAAAGCAGTTCTCCATTATCATGATCATAGAGGGAAGGATCTTGCTAACCACATCTGAATATTTCCCAACCTTATGGTGACAGAGAAAGCTATGGCTTGAAGGTGGCATAGAAAACTGAGTTAATTGGTGCTGCTGTAATATGTTTTATGTAACATAATGTAAACCGTTTCATTGTCACCAGGGATATATTTAAGTATATAATAAATGATGTGGGAGTTGTTTATCATACAATAAAACACTGCAGGGAGAATAACCATGAGGGTCGCATCCCTTAGTGTATTATTCTCCATACAGTGTTTTATTGTACGATAAACAACAACCACATGTTGTTTATTTGTCATATGAGATACAACATTATGTACATCCTCTTTAAGGATGTTACTTAAATTTACAAGCTTTAAATATATTTACCCCTATTTAAATCATGTTAAATAATGATGACTCCCTGAATAGAATTCAACCTTGGCAATGTCGGACAAGTCCATTTTATGAACAGGAGGTTAAACTTGGTCTTTCCCGCATATTCTCAAAATTTTCATGACAGTTATCTGTACCTTTTCTCCCAATACCGATTGTCATATCTCTCCCACTTTCGGATACAATCATTCGGCCATCGCGTTCATCTACGTTGCCAGGCTACATCTACGGGGAACAACTCTCTAGACACTTCCCTCTCAAAAATAACCTCATCCAATTTACGATTTCATCAAGTTGCGAGCGCATGTTCGAATCTCCAGAAATGACGTCATGATAGAACAAGGTTTTATCGTGAAATAAACCATGCTTCGTTCTTACCTGTTCTTTGCTATTTACCGCTTAGCTATCTTATATATGCTAATACATATCAATATGGTACTTAGTTGCTATATGGCAGAAATAATGCTGATGCTACATTAAATTTTAACTCATGCACCCAAATATAGTACTGACATGACAGTGTTATACGAAAGCTTTAAGTGCTCACCTTGATGGTGTTGAGCTAAGTGAGTGAGTGAGTGAGTTTGGTTTTACGCCGCTTTTAGCAATATTCCAGCAATATCACGGCGGGGGACACCAGAAATGGGCTTCACACATTGTACCAATGTCGGGAATCGAACCCAGGTCTTCGGTGTGACGAGCGAACACTTTAACCACTAGGCTACCAGACCGCCCCGTTGAGCTAAGAACGTACTGGTAGTGTTTCACCCTATGACTCAGTAAGACATACAGAGAGCTATGCACACCTATCTGTGGCCGCATGATGCGGTAATACACCCTCCACACAGTGTCCAGGGACATGCCGCTGTCCAGGTAGATGGCGCCAGCAACAGACTCGAAGATGTCTCCCAGAGCTTTGGGTATCTCCAGCTCCACCTCCTCCACCTGCTCACTGTCCTCGTCCCCATCCTCCAACATCTGGAACTGCCAAATCAACACGGGTAACTAGGCAACAAAGTCAGCAAGCCGGACCATCTGATCTAGTTAGTCACCTCTTACGGCAAGCATGGGTTGCTGAAGATCAATTCTAACCCAGATCTTCACAAGGTACAAACATAACACAGGGTAACTAGACAACCACAACATGGGCAACAAGACAATTACAACACAGGGTAACTAGGCAACCGTAACACAGGGTAACTAGGCAACCGTAACACAGGGTAACTAGGCAACCACAACACAGCATAACTAGGTTAACACAATACAGGGTAACTAGGTAAACATAACATGGGGTAACTAGGTAAACACACCACACAGTAACTAGGCAACCACAACACAGGGTAACTAGGTAAAACAACACAGGGTAACTAGGTAAACACGACACAGGGTAACTCAGCAACCACAACACAGGGTACTAGGCAACCACAACACAGGGTAACTAGGTCAACATGACACAGGGTAACTAGGTCAACACGACACAGGGTAACTAGGCAACCACAACACAGGGTAACTAGGTGAACACAACACAGGGTACTAGGCAACCACAACACAGGGTAACTAGGTGAACACAACACAGTGTATCTAGGTAAGCACAACACAGGGTAACTAGGTCAACACAACACAGGGTAACTAGGTCAACACAACACAGGGTAACTAGGTCAACACAACACAGGGTAACTAGGTCAACACAACACAGGGTAACTAGGTAAAGACAACACAGGGTAACTAGGTCAACACAACACAGGGTAACTAGGTCAACACAACACAGGGTAACTAGGTCAACACGACACAGGGTAACTAGGCAACCACAACACAGGGTAACTAGGTCAACACGACACAGGGTAACTAGGTCAACACAACACAGGGTAACTAGGTCAAGACAACACAGGGTAACTAGGTCAACACAACACAGGGTAACTAGGTCAACACGACACAGGGTAACTAGGCAACCACAACACAGGGTAACTAGGTAAAGACAACACAGGGTACTAGGCAACCACAACACAGGGTAACTAGGTAAAGACAACACAGTGTAGATAGGCTAAGATCGCTTTGTGGAACCAAAACCATCATTTAATGGTTGCTTTGAAGCTAGTGACAGATCAGACAGTTCACAGTGCTGTTTGTGTTGTCTTACCTCATCCTCAATATCAATCTCATCCTCCTTGTCCTTCTGTCTCGCGACAAACTTCTCGATGACGTGGAACAGTGCTGGAGAAATGGCCTTGAAGTACTTGTGGAAGTCCCACTTCACTGCCAGAGCTGCAAAGATGTTGTTGTTGACGAGGGCGGACCTCAGGTCTGTCAGGATGCCCGGGGAATACTTCTGTGAGTCCTCGTACAGATGGCGGGTGATCACATAGTCCAGGATGGCATCCCCCAGGAACTCCAGCCTGAAACATGGCGAGTGTGACATATCTATCAATATCATGTTGAAACATAGGCCCTCTGCTGTTACCTTTTACGAAGTATCCCATATGACATTACACAGCAGTCGCCACCATCTGTAGTCATGGATACAGGGTAGATAACAACGCGAGAGAAAAATCACCTCCATGTTTCCGACTTTGTGTCAATCACACTTGCAGGGAAACATCATTTGTGTTCTAGTATCCATGACTACAAATGGCGGCATCTGATCATGCTTAGTCATGTGTGTGATACGGAATACTAAGTAAAAGAAAACAGCAGAATTTCTGTGTACATTTAGGTTAAACGATACAAAGAATAACGAAACTTTTAACTTTTTTTTTACCAAATATACCAGAACACAGAAAAATTATTGCAATACATATTTCAATATAATGGTATACCGGTAATACCATGCAGTCCTACTGACAAGGCAACACAGTAAAAATAATTTAGGTATTCCACTCTGATAGCAGTCAGTGATGGAGTGTGGTATAGTGAACACTGGTGTACCTCTGACAGTGATGGAGTGTGGTATAGTGAACACTGAGGTACCTCTGATAGCAGTCAGTGATGGAGTGTGGTATAGTGAACACTGAGGTACCTCTGATAGCAGTCAGTGATGGAGTGTATGGAGAGTAGTATAGTGAACACTGGTGTACTTCTGATAGCAGTCAGTGATGGAGAGTAGTATAGTGAACACTGGTGTACTTCTGATAGCAGTCAGTGATGGAGTGTAGTATAGTGAACATTGGTGTACCTCTGATAGCAGTCAGTGATGGAGTGTAGTATAGTGAACACTGGTGTACTTCTGATAGCAGTCAGTGATGGAGTGTAGTATAGTGAACATTGGTGTACCTCTGATAGCAGTCAGTGATGGAGTGTAGTATAGTGAACACTGGTGTACTTCTGATAGCAGTCAGTGATGGAGTGTATGGAGAGTAGTATAGTGAACACTGGTGTACTTCTGATAGCAGTCAGTGATGGAGTGTGGTATAGTGAACACTGAGGTACCTCTGATAGCAGTCAGTGATGGAGTGTATGGAGAGTAGTATAGTGAACACTGGTGTACTTCTGATAGCAGTCAGTGATGGAGTGTGGTATAGTGAACACTGAGGTACCTCTGATAGCAGTCAGTGATGGAGTGTATGGAGAGTAGTATAGTGAACACTGGTGTACTTCTGATAGCAGTCAGTGATGGAGTGTAGTATAGTGAACACTGGTGTACTTCTGATAGCAGTCAGTGATGAAGTGTAGTATAGTGAACATTGGTGTACTTCTGATAGCAGTCAGTGATGGAGTGTGGTATAGTGAACACTGAGGTACCTCTGATAGCAGTCAGTGATGGAGTGTATGGAGAGTAGTATAGTGAACACTGGTGTACTTCTGATAGCAGTCAGTGATGAAGTGTAGTATAGTGAACATTGGTGTACTTCTGATAGCAGTCAGTGATGGAGTGTGGTATAGTAAACAATGAGGTACCTCTGATAGCAGTCAGTGATGGAGTGTATGGAGAGTAGTATAGTGAACACTGGTGTACTTCTGATAGCAGTCAGTGATGAAGTGTAGTATAGTGAACACTGGTGTACCTCTGATAGCAGTCAGTGATGGAGTGTATGGAGAGTAGTATAGTGAACACTGGTGTACTTCTGATAGCAGTCAGTGATGAAGTGTAGTATAGTGAACACTGGTGTACTTCTGATAGCAGTCAGTGATGGAGTGTAGTATAGTGAACATTGGTGTACTTCTGATAGCAGTCAGTGATGAAGTGTAGTATAGTGAACACTGGTGTACTTCTGATAGCAGTCAGTGATGAAGTGTAGTATAGTGAACATTGGTGTACTTCTGATAGCAGTCAGTGATGGAGTGTGGTATAGTGAACACTGGTGTACCTCTGACAGTGATGGAGTGTAGTATAGTGAACATTGGTGTACTTCTGATAGCAGTCAGTGATGGAGTGTGGTATAGTGAACACTGAGGTACCTCTGATAGCAGTCAGTGATGGAGTGTATGGAGAGTAGTATAGTGAACACTGGTGTACTTCTGATAGCAGTCAGTGATGAAGTGTAGTATAGTGAACATTGGTGTACTTCTGATAGCAGTCAGTGATGGAGTGTGGTATAGTGAACACTGAGGTACCTCTAATAGCAGTCAGTGATGGAGTGTATGGAGAGTAGTATAGTGAACACTGGTGTACTTCTGATAGCAGTCAGTGATGAAGTGTAGTATAGTGAACACTGGTGTACCTCTGATAGCAGTCAGTGATGGAGTGTAGTATAGTGAACATTGGTGTACTTCTGATAGCAGTCAGTGATGGAGTGTGGTATAGTAAACAATGAGGTACCTCTGATAGCAGTCAGTGATGGAGTGTATGGAGAGTAGTATAGTGAACACTGGTGTACTTCTGATAGCAGTCAGTGATGAAGTGTAGTATAGTGAACACTGGTGTACCTCTGATAGCAGTCAGTGATGGAGTGTATGGAGAGTAGTATAGTGAACACTGGTGTACTTCTGATAGCAGTCAGTGATGAAGTGTAGTATAGTGAACACTGGTGTACTTCTGATAGCAGTCAGTGATGGAGTGTAGTATAGTGAACATTGGTGTACTTCTGATAGCAGTCAGTGATGAAGTGTAGTATAGTGAACACTGGTGTACTTCTGATAGCAGTCAGTGATGGAGTGTAGTATAGTGAACACTGGTGTACCTCTGATAGCAGTCAGTGATGAAGTGTAGTATAGTGAACATTGGTGTACTTCTGATAGCAGTCAGTGATGGAGTGTGGTATAGTGAACACTGGTGTACCTCTGACAGTGATGGAGTGTAGTATAGTGAACATTGGTGTACTTCTGATAGCAGTCAGTGATGGAGTGTGGTATAGTGAACACTGAGGTACCTCTGATAGCAGTCAGTGATGGAGTGTATGGAGAGTAGTATAGTGAACACTGGTGTACTTCTGATAGCAGTCAGTGATGAAGTGTAGTATAGTGAACATTGGTGTACTTCTGATAGCAGTCAGTGATGGAGTGTGGTATAGTGAACACTGAGGTACCTCTGATAGCAGTCAGTGATGGAGTGTATGGAGAGTAGTATAGTGAACACTGGTGTACTTCTGATAGCAGTCAGTGATGAAGTGTAGTATAGTGAACACTGGTGTACTTCTGATAGCAGTCAGTGATGGAGTGTAGTATAGTGAACATTGGTGTACTTCTGATAGCAGTCAGTGATGAAGTGTAGTATAGTGAACACTGGTGTACTTCTGATAGCAGTCAGTGATGGAGTGTAGTATAGTGAACACTGGTGTACCTCTGATAGCAGTCAGTGATGAAGTGTAGTATAGTGAACATTGGTGTACTTCTGATAGCAGTCAGTGATGGAGTGTATGGAGAGTAGTATAGTGAACACTGGTGTACTTCTGATAGCAGTCAGTGATGAAGTGTAGTATAGTGAACATTGGTGTACTTCTGATAGCAGTCAGTGATGGAGTGTATGGAGAGTAGTATAGTGAACACTGGTGTACTTCTGATAGCAGTCAGTGATGAAGTGTAGTATAGTGAACATTGGTGTACTTCTGATAGCAGTCAGTGATGAAGTGTAGTATAGTGAACATTGGTGTACTTCTGATAGCAGTCAGTGATGGAGTGTAGTATAGTGAACACTGGTGTACCTCTGATAGCAGTCAGTGATGGAGTGTAGTATAGTGAACATTGGTGTACTTCTGATAGCAGTCAGTGATGGAGTGTGGTATAGTGAACACTGAGGTACCTCTGATAGCAGTCAGTGATGGAGTGTAGTATAGTGAACATTGGTGTACTTCTGATAGCAGTCAGTGATGGAGTGTGGTATAGTGAACACTGGTGTACCTCTGATAGCAGTCAGTGATGGAGTGTAGTATAGTGAACATTGGTGTACCTCTGATAGCAGTCAGCGATGGAGTGTAGTATAGTGAACACTGGTGTACTTCTGATAGCAGTCAGTGATGAAGTGTAGTATAGTGAATATTGGTGTACTTCTGATAGCAGTCAGTGATGGAGTGTAGTATAGTGAACACTGGTGTACCTCTGATAGCAGTCAGTGATGAAGTGTAGTATAGTGAACACTGAGGTACCTCTGATAGCAGTCAGTGATGAAGTGTAGTATAGTGAACACTGGTGTACTTCTGATAGCAGTCAGTGATGGAGTGTAGTATAGTGAACATTGGTGTACCTCTGATAGCAGTCAGTGATGGAGTGTGGTATAGTGAACATTGGTGTACCTCTGATAGCAGTCAGTGATGGAGAGTAGTATAGTGAATATTGGTGTACCTCTGATAGCAGTCAGTGATGGAGTGTATGGAGAGTAGTATAGTGAACATTGGTGTACCTCTGATAGCAGTCAGTGATGGAGTTGTAATGGTAGGAGGCGTGTGTGAAGGCCTGCAGCAGGTAGGACCGGTCCTGGAAGGTGTAGCCAATCTTCTCCTCAAAGACGTTGTAGCCGTCCAGGAGATGGAGCAGCATGTTGTTGGCGTGGTGGTGCCCTGCCAGGAACAGCGGCGACGGGGGACACTGAAGCTCCTTAAACTCGTACTCACTCACCTGGTGGAGAGATAAAGTTGTCAACCGCTAATGCAATAGACAACAGGAGAAGATGAATAAAGTGATCTGATATCAGGAATCTGAAACATCTTACATGGATCACATAACACAGGACCCTCACTATTAGATATTTTGTTTATTGTTGTTTAACATGTTTAGAGCCCACTGAGCAATATTCCAGTCATAGGACCATGATTACCATGTAAGTAACAGAGTCTGGACCACACAATCCAGTGACTGATATTATCAACAGTATCCTATGCCACGTTGACAGGAAATCAACAATGTCACGGAGTCTGACCACCCAACCCATCACCTTTTACAACAAGCATAGATTGCTGGCACCTATTCTCATCCAGAATACCAACCAGGGTATGTATCTTTGTTGAAACATATTAGGCCTACACCAGTATCACAGTTGAATATATTATCAATATGTTTACAAGAAAAGGCTCCCTGGAATATTATGTGTTTGGTCCCTATATAGTTACCATGAAACGATTGAGGGGTTTCCAAGTAGCACCTTGACACTAACCTGCTGCCCCTCCTTCCTGCGAACCGCACCCACTCGGTGGTCCTTCCTCGGCAACACCTTCAGCCCCAGCCATGACATGAACATCAGCGCTGCCTTCTTCCCACATGTGGTCAGATAGCAGCCAATCAGAGCCTCCACACTGTCGGCCACACTCTTGTCTGGGATCCCGTGCTGCGTCTGTAGACTGTAGGGCACTAAAGCCAGCGTGTCGTCAGTCAGATCCTCTATCTTGTCAGCCTCTTGGATCAAGTCAATCTCTTCAAGCTCCTGGTCAAACTTCTGGCGTTCTACATCACTCATCGGTGGCACACCTCCACTTTGTTCTACTGTCCCCTCACCACTGTCATTGGTGGACACAGCTGTCATTTGTTCTGTAGCTGCTGATGCGTGACTAGCATCACTGTCAGAGAGCACAGGTATGTTCTCAAGACCATCATCTACGTCCACAACAGTGGATTCAGTATCACTACCAGCATCCTCAGATATGCCTTCTTCACAACTAGCATCAATGCTATGCTTGTTTTCAGTTTCTGTTTCCTCAGTTCCACTTTCTTTGGAATCCAGATCAGTGCTGTGCTTGTCAGATTCATGTTTCTCTGGCATTTTTTCTTCACAATCCTCATTAATGAGATGCTTCTCCTCGGCTTCAAGAGTCTGGGTCACCTTTCCTTCTGATTTCACATCAACACTATGCATGTCTTCAGTTTCCAGTTTCTGGGTCACATTGGCTTCAGATTTGATATCAACACTATGCATGTTTTCAGTTTCAAGTTTTGGGGTCACCTTTCCTTCTGATTTCACATCAACACTATGCATGTCTTCAGTTTCAAGTTTCTGGGTCACATTGGCTTCAGATTTGATATCAACACTATGCATGTTTTCAGTTTCAAGTTTTGGGGTCACCTTTCCTTCTGATTTCACATCAACACTATGCATGTCTTCAGTTTCCAGTTTCTGGGTCACATTGGCTTCAGATTTGATATCAACACTATGCATGTCTTTAGTTTCAAGTTTCTGGGTCACACTTCCTTCAGATTCAACATTACCACCATGAACGTCCTCAGTTTCACTTCCGGCTGCATGTTTCTCTGTCATGTTTCCTTCTGACTCCTCAGATTCAACTTTACTATCCGATTTCTCTTTGTCACTTATCACATCGCACACTTCTGTCTTTTTACTACCACCTGTTTCCTTCTTGTCCTCGAATAATTTGGCCACTGTGGAATCAGTTTCAGACTTTTTGGCATTACTGCTTGACGTTTTCTTGCCCGAGTTGGCAATGACGACTCTAGGCACCGGGCCCCTCCTCCTGTTCTCGTTGATGATGTACCCCGGGGGCAGCCAGTTCTCATAGGGCTCAAACTTGGCTGACACCATGCACTCAGCTAAACGTCGCTTCCTACCGAGTCTATACAGGTTGTAATTACTGACTTGCTTGCTCCTGAGGTAACTCAGCTTCCCTTCGTGAATGCCTGGGTATGAGCAGTAGAGGTACACGGTGATGGCATACTTGAGAAAGGAGTCACCAATAGTCTCTAATCTTTCCAAACTGAAAAAGTCATTAGCATTGGACATTGTTAACGCCTGTAAAATGAGGCAGGGGCTTGGTCCCACAAAAGTACTGAGATCTCTGTCCTCATCCAGGCAGATGTTAGGTTGAGATGTCACTTCCAGTTCCACCTCTTCTGATGTTGTGGATGAGGAAGCATCACTGTCAGGACAAGGCTCTCCACAACCTGGGAAGGACCAGACACCGAAGTCAGCATCAGCATCGTTACCATAGGACTCAGCGTTGTCCGTATCACAGCAGTTACTTTCAGCCCCTTCCTGTTTCTGCCTAATTGGAGGACCCCCTATCGTGGTCAACTGTGACATAGGTTCATCATCCCACCCCGAGGCTGGGCTGTCTTTCATCTGGTCTGAAGAATCACACACAGGATTTGCATTGAACACTGTTTCGGCACCTGGTTCAGTAAGAAGGTCACTTTTTGACACTGAGGACTCTTTGATTGCATCGGAGTATTGAGCAGTCGGGAAGTCAGCCTCCACACTGTCCTTTCTTTGATCATCAAGCCTAATTTGAGCAGGGTTTTCTGAATCATCCTTTGTACTAGATTGTTCTGTTTCTGAGATCATGAGTTGGCATGAATCCATCGCATTAGGAACTGTTACACCAGACAGTGCACCACAGACACTGGATGACGAGTCATCCTCGGTTGCAGTGGATGCATACTGAAATTGGTCCACCAAAAGGGATGAGTCTGGCACGTCTGACATCGGAGGATCAGCTTGGACATCTTCTTTGAGAGGTTCTGAGATTACCATATTGGAATGAGCATGGGTTAATGATGAGCACCTTTCTGATGAGTGACTAGTTTGATTGTGTGTTATGTTTGTTCCAGTGTGTGCTGTACTAGGTGAAGTGTTGAGCACCGAGTCATGATCTGGGCAGGCTGGAGGTCCTGCAGGGTCACCTGACTCCGGAGTGGCACCTGTGGACTGTGCGTTACTGCAGACAGTTGCATTGCTAACTTCAGTTGAGCACCATTGAGTATCGTTCCCTTCAGAATCTGCAGTTTCTGATTGCTCCACAAAGTTTTCACATGCATTTCTGGCATTATGGCATAAAGAATCATTTCTGTTCTTAACCTGCATAGAGTTTGTTTCTAACACATTGTCATATTTTGCGTCTCTATCTAAAACTTCTATCACATTGGCTGTGACTAAAGGAGTATCATCTGTAAAAGTTTTGGTTTGAACGTCACAGTGTTTTGCAAATGACTTGCTGCAATGTTCATGTTGATGTTTACTGACAACACTCGGTTCTGTATCAGGCACGGTGCAGTCTGTATTGGCTTGCGTACCAGACACACGGGTTTCTGTATCAGATACGATACAATCTGTTGGATGTTGTGCACCAGTGATACTGGATTCTGTACCAGGGATGACACAATCTGTCTGGGGTTGTGTACCAATTATGGGTTTATTTAGGAATCTTAAACACTTGGTAGTAGTTTCTGTATCAGCTACAGGAAAATCTGTCTGAGGTGATTGTGTACCAGTGTAACTGGCTTCTGATTGGGACCTTTTACTGTCATTCTTAGGTTTGGGACCTGTTCTGGTTTCCTTATCTGGCACTATACAGTCGGTCTGAGACTCCATGTTTGTGGTACTAGCGGTTGCAGTGGTTTTTGTGTCTGCTGCAGATGTGATAAAATTCTTCTGCATATTTGTGGCACTGGTGTCTGTATCTGACACAACACAGTCTGTCGTACGCTGTTTGCCTGTGGCACTGGTATCTGTATCTGACACAACACAGTCTGTCGTACGCTGTTTGCCTGTGGCACTGGTATCTGTATCTGACACAACACAGTCTGTCGTAAGCTGTTTGCCTGTGGCACTGGTATCTGTATCTGATACAACACAGTCTGCCGTACGCTGTTTGCCTGTGGAACTGGTATCTGTATCTGACACAACACAGTCTGTCGTAGGTTGTTTGCCTGTGGAACTGGTATCTGTATCTGACACAACACAGTCTGTCGTAGGTTGTTTGCCTGTGGAACTGGTATCTGTATCTGACACAACACAGTCTGCCGTACGCTGTTTGCCTGTGGAACTGGTATCTGTATCTGACACAACACAGTCTGTCGTAGGTTGTTTGCCTGTGGAACTGGTATCTGTATCTGACACAACACAGTCTGTCGTACGCTGTTTGCCTGTGGAACTGGTATCTGTATCTGACACAACACAGTCTGTCGTAGGCTGTTTGCCTGTGGCACTGGTATCTGTATCCGACACAACACAGTCTGTTGTACGATGTTTGCCTGTGGAACTGGTATCTGTATCTGACACAACACAGTCTGCCGTACGCTGTTTGCCTGTGGAACTGGTATTTACATCTGACACAACACAGTCTGTTGTACGCTGTTTGCCTGTGGCACTGGTATCTGTATCCGACACAACACAGTCTGTTGTACGATGTTTGCCTGTGGAACTGGTATCTGTATCTGACACAACACAGTCTGTCGTACGCTGTTTGCCTGTGGCACTGGTATCTGTATCTGACACAACACAGTCTGTTGTACGATGTTTGCCTGTGGAACTGGTATCTGTATCTGACACAACACAATCTGTCGTACGCTGTTTGCCTGTGGAACTGGTATCTGTATCTGACACAACACAGTCTGTCGTAGGCTGTTTGCCTGTGGCACTGGTATCCGTATCTGACACAACACAGTCTGCCGTACGCTGTTTGCCTGTGGAACTGGTATCTGTATCTGACACAACACAGTCTGTCGTACGCTGTTTGCCTGTGGCACTGGTATCTGTATCTGACACAACACAGTCTGTTGTACGCTGTTTGCCTGTGGAACTGGTATCTGTATCTGACACAACACAGTCTGTCGTAGGCTGTTTGCCTGTGGAACTGGTATCTGTATCTGACACAACACAGTCTGTCGTACGCTGTTTGCCTGTGGAACTGGTATCTGTATCTGACACAACACAGTCTGTTGTACGCTGTTTGCCTGTGGAACTGGTATCTGTATCCGACACAACACAGTCTGTCGTACGCTGTTTGCCTGTGGAACTGGTATCTGTATCTGACACAACACAGTCTGTCGTACGCTGTTTGCCTGTGGCACTGGTATCCGTATCTGACACAACACAGTCTGCCGTACGCTGTTTGCCTGTGGAACTGGTATTTACATCTGACACAACAGAGTCTGTCATACGCTGTTTGCCTGTGGCACTGGTATCTGTATCTGACACAACACAATCTGTCGTAGGCTGTTTGCCTGTGGAACTGGTATCTGTATCTGACACAACACAGTCTGTTGTACGCTGTTTGCCTGTGGAACTGGTATCTGTATCTGACACAACACAGTCTGTCGTACGCTGTTTGCCTGTGGCACTGGTATCTGTATCTGACACAACACAGTCTGCCGTACGCTGTTTGCCTGTGGAACTGGTATCTGTATCTGACACAACACAGTCTGTCGTACGCTGTTTGCCTGTGGCACTGGTATCTGTATCTGACACGACACAGTCTGTCGTACGCTGTTTGCCTGTGGCACTGGTGTCTGTATCTGACACAACACAGTCTGTCATACGCTGTTTGCCTGTGGCACTGGTATCTGTATCTGACACAACACAGTCTGCCGTACGCTGTTTGCCTGTGGAACTGGTATCTGTATCCGACACAACACAGTCTGTCGTACGCTGTTTGCCTGTGGCATTGGTATTTGAAACAACACAGTCTGTCGTACGCTGTTTGCCTGTGGCACTGGTATCCGTATCTGACACAACACAGTCTGCCGTACGCTGTTTGCCTGTGGAACTGGTATTTACATCTGACACAACAGAGTCTGTCATACGCTGTTTGCCTGTGGCACTGGTATCTGTATCTGACACAACACAATCTGTCGTACGCTGTTTGCCTGGGGCACTGGTATCTGTATCTGACACAAAACAGTCCGTCGTAGGCTGATTGCCTGTGGCACTGGTACCTGTATCTGGCACAACACAGTCAGTGTTAAGCTGTTCACCTGTGGAACTTGTATCTACATCTGACACAACAGAGTCTGTCGTAGGCTGTTTGCCTGTGGCACTGGTATTTGAAACAACACAGTCTGTCTTAGGCTGTACCTGTGTGACACTGCTATCTACATTGTCAGTCTTGGACTGTATACTTGCGGTGCTAGAATCTGCATCAGATGTGCTGCTGTTTGGCTGGGGAGACAGGTCAGTAGTATTAGTATCACACTTAGAGTGAGCTCCAATGTCTGCTACACTGACTTCTGAGCCTGCTGAGGCAATGCCTGAATCACTGTCTGATGACATCTCTCCCTTGTCCTCTATTGCCTTCAGGTCCTCCTGGGAGATAGCAGGGGGACTACTTTCACTAGGACTGGACGGCACTTTGTCCTTTTCATCCGACTTCTGACTAGAATCACACGAATGTACATCCTCCGTCGGACTTTCTTGCCTTTCGAAGGAGTTCTGCTTATCATCATCACTGGCATCCTTGTCCTGCCCCTCCTCGGCATCACATTTCAACTTTTCAGGATTTGTTTCAAACCCGAAATCCAACTGTGGGAATGTAAAGTCACACGGCAACTCCACTACCCCTATGCCTGTTTCCTTCGCGATGCGTTTCCTAATCTCCTCCGCCAGGAGAAGATAGTTCATCCTGTACAGGACAGCTGGCAGACAGACAGCCTTCCGCCACAGAGACGCTGGGAACACATGTATATCACACAGCTCAGGGACTAGGATCTGCTTCTGTTGTAGGTTCTCCCGCCGAGCACGCTTGGTCTCGGCACTGCTGGTTGGCAGAGCCACGCCCTTCTGGTTCATGTAGCGCGGAGTGAGGAGGTTGAGGCGAGCAGACGTGTGGTCCACGTCGAGGAGGGGCTGGTCAGTGTTGGTGATAGTCAGGCCATACTTGGTGGTGTAGTATTCGTTGAATGTTTTGTACAACTCTGGTGAAGGGAAGGGGCTGGTTGGGTTAAGGTCCAAACGGATTTCAGCTACGTAGAAGTGTTGGGGCTGGTCGATATTGCGGTATGATGGCATCACTACAGCGTCTGCAAAGTCCTCCTGGCGGAACTCAAATGCACCTCGCTTTTTGTCAAACACATTCTTCTTCTTCTCTGGCTTGGCAGTGGATTGGACAATGTTCACAAAATCCCACTGTATTCCAAGCCCACTCTCAGTGGACAAGTCTTGAAAAGAAAGGTTAGCAATAAGGAAATATTACATTAAAACAAGCATACTGTTCAGGCAAATTAGTGCATATTCATATTAAAATCCTTATAAATATAGGTGGGCTTAAAATCATGACATACACTACTAAAAAGAAGTTAAAGAACTTTCATGTTACTCCAGTTAATCTGTCACTCCACTATAGCAAATAAGAATCAGGTGTTCCTTAACTATTTTTGAGTAGTATATTTTGAACATATTAAAATAAACAGATATATCAATGTACAACAGTTTGTTCCCATTGTGAATTCTTGACTATGTTTCGCACAAATCATGAAAAACTATTTAAACAAACATCATGGTTAGGGAACTTCCCTGTCCTGGTATCCTGATACAGTACTTTTCTCACATATTGATAATCTTTCTTTTTGAGGTTGAATCACAACCCTGAATCATTTGTTTTTAACTTTCAGAGATCGACCGTGGGATATTTTATGGCAGAAATATGTAGGCTTGAAGGCTCTGGGAATGTTATGTAATTTACTGCAAACTGGAAAATACTAACGAATTTGTGAATGCTGATTGTGGAACAGTTTGTGTTATTATTCGTGTTTTTACAACTTGTAATGTAATTACGGTAATGTATTGTATGCATCATGATACGGTGGCTGAGTGGGTTAGATCGCTGACTTTGTGTGCTGACGATTAGGGGCCTCACTCTGGCAAGTGTGGGTTCGAATCCCGGACGGGGCTCAAACCCAAAAGAGCACGAGAATCTGTACTTTACTAAGAAAGTGTTATCCCAAATATAACATTTGTTACATTTGACCACTTTCTAAATGGCATTGTGTATTCATGATACAAGGGTTATAAATTGAGGCATTGTATCGTTGACTTTGTATCTCGATACAATACTATATCTCTGTATCTATACAGCACTACTAGAGTTAGATATTACAGTAAAACCATGTTTGCTAAAAGAATGTTCCTGTCTTTCATGTGTCTACACAAACTGGACCTACTGTGACTTACCTTTGTCAAGTGGTACAATAAGGTAGCCGACGTCTGCACTAGAAACAGCAAACTCCATGGGGTCTTTCTCAAGGTGAAGGACGCTGGTGAACACAAACTGATGGAATTTCCCTATCTTCTTCAGGTCTTCCTGGCTTAGCACCACATTTGACTGGATCAGATCCACAGAGACAGTTACCTCCCCTGACCGTGTGTACACCGGAAAATGAGGGACCTACAAAACCAAGCAGACATTTCCACTTGATGAAAACACCAACCTTTATCATGCGGCCACGTCAGAATGATGAGATCTGATTGGTCCACGTGATCTTGATCAAATACTGTGTAACCTGCCTTGGAGGGTAATAAATTTCTCAGCAGGGGAATAAATCTCTTATACCCCGCCACAAGCACGACAGGCTGCACGTGCATTTCTGAGAGACAGAATAAATCCTTTATACCTCTCTTCAAAGCAAAAAGCCACACACTTTTTCCGAGCCTAGGGATGTCATGTGACATAGTGCAAGCTAACCTCAGCTCAATCCAGCAGCTGTTTTCTATCAATTTGGAATTTATTTGAATTATTTTACAATGTTATATTAAAACATGTCGGTAAGATAAATTTGTTGCAGCAGGATCACTCGTGGTACATGGGGTTTTATGTGCCCCTCGTTAACACAGGACGCATAAAACCCCATGTACCCCTCGTAATTCTGCTACAACTTATAGTGTTACCCAACCTTACCTCCACATGCCATATCAAGTAGTGAGTGAGTGAGTGAGTGAGTGAGTGAGTGAGTGAGTGAGTGAGTGAGTGAGTGAGTGAGTGAGTGAGTGAGTGAGTGAGTGAGTGAGTGAGTGAGTATTCCAGTTATATCACGGCGTGTCAGCTTAATGTGGGAGGAAAGCCTGAAGTGATGCAGGTCTCAGACGTTTACCACTTCGGTGAAACCCACTAGCACGGGTATGGTGCTGACAAACCTAGAAACATAATCAGGACGAACCGGGATTCGAACCCACAATCATAGGTTTCTGGCGTGCCCAAGGGACGCAATTCTGCACAGTGAATCACGGCGCCTTAGACGACTGGGCTCCCCCCCCAACCCCCCATAGAGGATAGAGGGCCACCCATGCTCGTGAGTGAGTGAGTGAGTGAGTGAGGTTTAATATCGCTTTTAGCAATATTTCAACAACATCATGAGGGGGGATACCAGAAATGTGCTTTACACATTGTGCCCATGAGGCGAATCGAAACCAGGTCTTTGGTATGACAAGCAAACGCCTTAACCAATAGACAGCCCTACCTGACTCTAAATTAACAAGTAAAACTGCAAGTCTTGTCTACACTTACAATACACCATGATATCCCAAGATATATGAGGGTGTGTTATGTTTGACACTGCTAGAACATTATTTAAGCTTAATGGGGAAAAAGAGACAACTTGATGCTGGAAACAACAAGCAAAGATGCTGACAAACCAAGGATGATTATTTGGGATAATCTGGGATTTATACCCATGACCAGTGGCTGCTGCATTCTCCCCATCCTCATCCTCATATAGCTGTATGGAAATATTATATTTTGTTACTTTGTTGTTCAACGCCGCACTCTGCAATATTCCAGCTATATGACGGTGGTCTGTAAATAATCGAGACAAGACACTCCAGTTATTGACATCATGAGCATCGATCCACACAATTGGGATATGATGACATGAATCAACCAAGTCGGCGAGTCTGACTACCCGATCCCATTAGTCACCTCTTACGACAAGCATAGTCACCTTTTACGGCAAGCATGGGTTGCTGGAGACCTATTCTACCCCGGGTCTTCACGGGTTGAATGATAATAACTGTAACAGCAATTGATAAGGTCTTGCATTGGCATAGCAACATTACAGTCACAGGGACCCAAACAACAGACTACGCCAATTTGATAACCCAATGTAATATCCAAGTCTTTGTAGTAGCTCACTAGGGGAATTTCTTTTGATGAGAGTAGACCCAGGGACTGTGCAGTATCCTCGGGTGCATATATGCGTCTGCCACGGGTGTTCTGCTCGTCTGTGATTGGCCCTGTTAGTTTGAGGTTGATGAAGTACAGGTTGCAGGGCTCGTCTGGGCGGACATGACTGTGAACAAATGCATCCGCTGCCTGAAATATAATACACCACCATCAATATCCAGGCATTATTCAGGCTGAGAAGGAATATATACACCACCATCAATATCCAGGCATTATTCAGACTGAGAAGGAATATATACACCACCAACAATATCCAGGCATTATTCAGGCTGAGAAGGAATATATATACCACCATCAATATCCAGGCATTATTCAGACTGAGAAGGAATATATATACCACCATCAATATCCAGGCATTATTTAGACTGAGAAGGAATATATACACCGCCATCAATATCCAGGCATTATTCAGACTGAGAAGGAATATATACACCACCATCAATATCCAGGCATTATTCAGGCTGAGAAGAAATATATTACACCACCATCAATATCCAGGCATTATTTAGGCTGAGAAGAAATATATATACCACCATCAATATCGAGGCATTATTTAGGCGAAAAGGAATATATTACACCACCATCAATATCCAGGTATTATTCAGGCTGAGAAGGAATATATTACACCACCATCAATATCCAGGCATTATTCAGACTGAGAAGGAATATGACACCACCATCAATATCCAGGCATTATTCAGGCAAAAAGGAATATAAACACCGCCATCAATATCCTGGCATTATTCAGGCGAAAAGGAATATAAACACAGCCATCAATATCCTGGCATTATTCAGGCGAAAAGGAATATAAACACAGCCATCAATATCCAGGCATTATTCAGGCTGAGAAGGAATTTGAAAAAGATCCCCATGGTGCTACTGTATAATTGGTATTTTATCAATAGTAGTGGTACTTCTTAAAATATTACTTAGACTAGCCATTGCATTCTTTTTATCGTCAGGTTATGACATAACTCAGATGGTTATCCCAAGAACTATAAAGAAGAATACAACACTTAAGACTAGGCTAGTCGAGATATTCTAACACTGGGAAAGAAACTTTTCAAAACATCTATAAAACAGCACTGAGTATGGTTTTACGCCGTTTTAAGCAACAATCCTACAAATCCTGCTTCTACCCATGTGGGGAATCAAACCCCGGTCTTCAGTGTGATGAGCAAACGCTTAACCACTAAGCTACCCCATTTACCCCTAAACAGTATTAAGTAACGACAAACTTCACATGTAAGAATATGTGAACCTTGTATTACAATGCAGTCAGCAATATTCCAGCTGTACTTGAATAATCTGGACGAGGCAAACCAGTGGTTGACATCATGTGCAATGACCACACTGTTGGGGGTCTGATGACACATAATCAGCCAGCCATGACAACCTGATCAAGAATTTTCAGTCATCTTATTATAATAAGTCATGAACTAGCGAACTACTTTTTTGCTTACTTTTTTGTAGTAGTACTGCTTTCTCTTGGTTGTCCCTGGGCGAGCCTGTCCAGTGACATCCTCTTCCTCCCACTCTTCTTCCTCCTCGTAGACAAACATCTCCTTCCCTACAGGCATTAAGTTGTCATCCAGCTCACCTACATGCACACATTCAATAACACTGTAAAACAATGTAGCACACAGATGACAGAGTACACACAAACTGATGACATATTACACATAGAGAAATGATGTACTGCAACAAAGTCAACCTATGACAGTGTACACACACTGATGACATATTACACATAGGGTGACATGTTTTGCAACAAAGTCAACATATGACAGAGTACACAAATTGATGACATATTACACATAGGGTGATGATGTTTTGCAGCAAAGTCCACACATGACAGAGTACACACGAACTCATGACATATTACACATAGAGTGATGATGTAGTGCAACAAAGTCCCCACATCACAGAGTACACACAAACTGATGACATATTACTCACAGAGTGATGATGTCATACAACAATGCACATTAGTGCAGATAACATGATACACATCAACTGTTTATTTCAGTTCTGTAAAAGCTTTTCATAATATCGCCAAGCCATACACTGTTTGCACTGGCACACTTCTGTACAATGGACAACCAACTAACACAGGAGACTCCTTAATATTACATCAAGAATATATTTCGTTTCGTGCTATTCATACAGTCCGATGGTTCAAGAACTATCTTCACTGCAAGCATTGTGACTGTTAGGTATAAGTATGAGTATGATAAGATCTTGTCTATCACACCAAACATGTGCACAAGACGATGAACTAAGCAAAGTTTGTTTATCACTACAGTGAGTGAGTGAATGAGTATGGTTTTACGCCGCTTTTAGCAATATTCCAGCAGTATCATGGCGGGGGACACCAGAAATGGGCTTCACACAATGTACCCATGTCAGGAATCTCACCCGGGTCTTTGGCGTGACGAGCTAACCACTAGGCTACCCGACCGCCCCTTTATCACTACAGCCCTATCACAGTGGCCTGTAAAAGTCTAGACCAGGCAAACTAGCAGGAGTGGAGGCAGGAGCACCGATCCACGCCATCAGACAAGTCACACAGTCTCCGCTGTGCCTCTTCAGTTAGCTCTAGCAACAGGTGTGGGACACTGGGCACCTTTTCTTCCCCAGAATCCCTATGGGTAAATTACTAAGGGATGTGACCAGAGCTACAGATAAGCTGCGTATTTGTGTAAAATACCCCCCAAAACTATTCAAAACCCAATTACTTTCAATTAAATTGCGTACAGAAACGCATGCATTAAATTAAAAACTCAAATATATAAAAACAGCACGCGAAATACCAATGAAGCTTTTTCAACATGCGTACAATGGAGCTAATTTCCGAAACACAATTACAAGCTAATTTACTTTCCAAGTCAAGCCTATATTTAAAATCGTTATATACATCTAAAACGTTATTTAATCTTTTTAAAATCTCAAAATGTTTACTAATTTTGGGGGAAAAAAACAATAGAGTGATGAAAAGATGAGTGAAAAAATATTCGTTACCCAATGAAAAATGTAAAAACCCAATTAGAATAGAAACCTTCGAGTAAAAACTCAATTACTCAAAATGTTATCTGGAGCTCTGGTTCACATGTAATTGGGATGACATTGTGTTCAAGATTATGTCAATAATATAGCGATAGGCAGCTGTCTCAAATGATTCTCCCACCTGCTTTATGTAACTTCTCACACATCTTCAAAGCAACGGCCATCTTGGCAAGCTTCTTGGAAGGCATGGCCACACCCTGGGAGGGCAAGACAGAAATTAATATTCGAAATGTTTCAAATTTAATATCATCAATTCCATCTGCAAGATGAATCAAAGAGAGTATAATAATGTGATTGTGATTTACATTATTCTGATTAGTTGTAGGGTTACCATTATCTCCTGCTTTATGGACGAGTTCACTGGTAGTCTGAGCGAGGCCTCAAACATCTGAGCGTCCGTGTCAGGAACCACGGCAACGGAACAGTGAGGTGTTAGATGGGTGAAGGCATCACTGGGTAACTTTGCACAGTACCTAAGGAAAACAACAAGTTGACAATAATATGCCTTACATGCAGGATTTCAATCTACTGTTTAGAATTCCAATGAAGATATTGGAAGACTTGTTTTTATTTTGATAAAGTCTAAATATATGGGCTGTATATTTGCCAAATAATTGTTTGGCAATATATTGCCATATGTATTGCGACATACTGGGAGCTAAAGTCTTTGACAGTGATTGTTGACACTGAAGTATATCCTATTTTCTACATACGACAGTAAATAATACTCCGCGTGGTCAGTGGCCACTATTTGTAGTCATGGATACAGGGGAGATAACAACATGAGGTGTTCCTGCCGTTTTGTCGATCACTTTTGAAGGGAAACATCATTTGTGAATGAATTTCTGTGTATAGTTTAGATTGAACTAGAAAAATAATAATGAAACTTGCTATATTCTTCTTACCCAATATTCCGGAACACAGAAAAAGTATTGCAATAAGCATCAAAGCGTATTGCAGTATACCAGTACACCGTAATACCGTGCAGTGTCACAACATGTAATAATGGTGTGTGGTTCTAAAAGTGCCTGTAGAATTCTCAAACGAACAGACTGATTAATTACAATTTACAAATCTTCAGAAAAACAATAAAACTTTATCTTGTACTCCAAGCTCCATAAACAGGGAAAATGTGAAGTGTAAGCTACCTGTTGACCAGGGCAATGGCCGTCTGCATGGTGACCTTGGGAGCAGCTGGGTTGTCAGTTGGACAATATGGCGGCAGCATGGTGACAACTGTATCAGGATTGATCTCATCTCCATCATCTGCTAAATCTTTCCGACCTCTTCCATCCCCGATCAAAACCTGTATTAGTGATGGTGAGTTTTCCCTCTTACCAATCTCAACAATCTCAACAATTGCACAGTCACATCTAAACAAGAGATCAACAACTTGGCTGGACTTTTTAGAGAAATTCATGCATATTCATTGACCAAACCGAGAGGTGAATATGCATAAATGAGTGAGTGAGTTTCATTTAACGCCACTTTAACAGTATTCAAGTTGTGTCACGGCATGTCAGCTTAATGTGGGAGGAAAACCCTAAGTGATGCAGGTCTCAGACGTTAACCACTTTAGTGAAACCAACGAGCATGGGTATGGTGTTGACAAACCTAGACACATAATCTGGGAGAACCAGATTCGAACCAATAATCATAGGTTTCTGCCATGGCCCAAAGGGTTGCAAATCTACACAGTGAATTGCAGCGCCTAAGAAATTGTATCATGCGTTTTTCTGTCTGCACAGTTTCACAGTCCCTAAATTACCATTATTTGACATTGAGGACTTTCCAAATGATGAAAATGCTCCATTAACATGCTTAATGAAAACAACTTGGGTAATTTTTAGCTCTAACACAGAGGTGTTTAATGAACTGTGCGGGGGTAACCATGACAACAAGACCAAGGTTAACGTTACCTCCTCTATTCCCTTGAAGATCTTGAGTTCCTCAGTGAAGGTGTTCTTCTTATCTCTCTCCACCAGGATTATGTACTCAGCATCCCTCGATCGCGCCCGACCCTGAGGCACCATAAATACATGTATGTAACCATGGTAATACAACTATTGATAATCATCAATATCTTTCCCTGCCCTTGAACTCATTATTAATAATAATAATAATGGTGCATTTCTATGCTGGACGTCTTGCTCAAAGCTCACAAAGAAAAGCAATGTTAAGTCACAAGTCCCTGAATTTTACGATTCTTGGAGTAGCAGACCTATGTTCATTTCCAAACCTAAATCAGTGTCTCACCTTGGCAAGCGTGTAGGACCTGTAGTCTTTGGGGGGATCAAAACGGACAACAAGGTTACACTTGGGGATGTCCACTCCTTCCTCAAGGACACTGGTGGATATCAGGAGGTTCAGCTCCTGCATGCGGAACTTGCGCAGCGTCTCCTCCTGCTTACGATACACCCTCCCTGTGTCCTTCTTCTGCTTGCCTGCTTTCCATCCTGGCCCAGTCAGGTGGTTGCTCTTGATAAAACACAGATTCTCGTCCCAACCACACACCTCCTCTATAAGTTTGTTCAAGGCAAATGCTACATATCTCTGCTCTACAAACACAATTCCTATCAACTTTTTCTCATCTGGACCAAGGAAACAGCTAACAGCTCTATCCTCAAACCCCTCCATGCTACGTTTGACTGCAATATGAATTTGTTTGTTAGAATGAGAACTTGGACTTCCATCATCATCGTCTGAATCGGACAAATCCATGGAGTCATCAGACAGATCTGATTCATCCGACATCCCGGAATCTTCGTTACTAATAATCATAAAGTCTAAATCTGGTTTGTACTTCCGTAAAATGTCAACAAGTTGAACAACCTTAGGTGTTGTATACTCCAGGAATTCTTCAACAACATAATCCGGCGTGAAGTCTTTATCAAAAACCTTTGTGATGTATCGAAGCTGAGTTGATGCGAAGCGAAGCAGTCTTTTAGGAATTGGATTGCTTTCCTGTTTTTCTGATTTTTCAATTTGAGTTATCAACATTTCTGCAATACGGGCTGCACACCACGGACCAAGTCGGAGCAGAATATTGTGACATTCTGACAAAGCATTCTTGGGAATGTGCCGGGGATCCTTCTTCCCACACTCTTCTTCCGTGAACTGCAACTCATACAGGAAGAACAGCGCATTCTCAAGGATGCTCTTCAGCACTATGGTGATGTCCAGGGGCTCAGTCGGTTCACACTGGTACACAACCTCTTTGGGGCGTGAACCATACCTCTCTGAGATCACAAGCATGGAAGTTTCAGCTCTGGAATGTAACATAGCTTCAAGTGATGTGATTGCATTCCGCAGTTCATAGGGGTCATTGCATCGACTCCCCAATATGGCTGCAGTCAGACCAAGAATCTGCGGCTGCTCTTCTCCCGATGCAGGGGATAGATGTTCCATGATATGGACATAGTGGTGATCCCCGACTGCAAGATGGCAGTCATCGAATATAACCAGATTGAGGCTGGACAGTGGTAGGAAGTTATTGTCGAGGGCGGTGTGAAACACGTCTGCTACCATGACAAGGATCTGCTTCTCTGTGAGTTCCGCCAGCCAGTCTTCCTGTTTCCAGTCGTCGAGGTCGGTGTCAGAGGTGTACTTGCCGACCGTCAGGTCAGTGTGGTGCTGGAGGATCTGCCACTCAACCTCGGCCGCAAGGTCTGAAAACAATGTGGTACTCTCTAATAATGAAGTCATCATATCACAGTCATTTGTATCTCAGTTTGGCAGAGATGAGAAAACATAAGTAGCCATTCTCAGCTCATTTTCACCATGATAGCTGTATATTTATTGGAAATTAAATTTCAGTGTTCAAAGAACTAGCAAGTAGGGTATCTTTTCTGAACTTGTAGGTTCTGGACAACAAAATTAACTACATTATGTGTAAGAAGTTATTGTTATGTCTCCATATTTCTTTCATTTTTCTACTTTAACTTCACACACCAAGGAACATAATTGTTCACAACACATACCGGTATGACCATTTTCAGAACAAACTGTAAAACTTCTCAAATGTTTACATCATTTGTCAATTGTAAAATTGTTTATTATGTTTTGCCGTGAACAAATATAAAACCTTAAATGTCATTTTGAAGTTTCAATTCAGTTGGCCCAATGTCTTCAATGACAATCGAATTGACAACTGAACAGTTATTGCTTGGTTGAAGTAGATAATAGATTTAGGACATTTTGGTAATCAAGAATAAAATGTGAATGTTACCGGACACCACCAGGTAGACAGTTCTCTTCCCCCCGGTGTCATAGGCCTTCCTGATCTGGTGGGCCATCTCCTTGATGACCATGAGTGCGATGAAGGCCTTGCCTGAGTTACTACCCAGGCATATGATTGTGTTGCGGTGTAATGCCGCATCAAGCAGCTCCACCTACAAATAGCATACCCTGTCAATGTCATCACCTTGTAGGTCAGTGTGAATAAACGAAATAATACAACAGTCATTTGGAGGCAGCCTTTCCAATTCATGCTAGTCTGCAAGCCCAAGACAACTAAATTGTGCTGAGGACAAGTAAAAATCCAATTATGGTAGTCCTCATCACAAGTAGCATGTGAGGACTAAAATTCTGAACCAGTTCTCAATGCTTCAATTTTGCAACAAATTGGAACTGAATAAAACTGGCAGAAATTGTAAACAAAGTAAACATTAATGTCTCTTTCAAGCAGGACTAGCTACAAATTCTGAGAGCAAGTGAAATAAGTTTTCCACTAGTCCCTTGTTAAATAATTATATTTAAAAAAAATATATAGTGTTTTCCATCCCACATTTATTGTAGTTACATGTATATGCATTCCTTCAAATAAATAAGCCCAGGTGGATTAAATTAAACCCAAACTGTTTGGTCTGTTAGGCATGAAACCCTTGTTTTGTCCTTGGCTGACATTCATATTTTAAGATGAACAAAGAACATGATTCATGAAATCAATATTGAAACTACAAAGTTCAATAAACATCATCAATATGATTAAGACCCCTGTAATGGTTCTTTACATGTTTCTTTACAACAATTCTAATAAGCTTCCTTTTATCTAGCAAAGTAGATTTCAAAGAACCAAGGGCCATAACTCTGCCCTGACATGTCCAGTTTTCAAACTAAATGTGTATGTAGCCCGATAACAAATACTCCTAAGGTCCATTGTAAAGTCTCCTCATAATATATCCAAAAGTTTTGTTTTTATCCTGCTAACAACATGGCACAATTTCAGAATGCCAAGGCTATAACCACAACTGTCTTTTAATAAAGATCCAATCAAACCTATTTTGGAACATATTAATTAAGAACACAGGGAGCTGCCCTGCAAAGTTTCATTAAAACACTGAAAAAGCTTTTTCATGCAAATGACAAGATGTTACTGTTACTTCTACTTTTCAGCAAACAAAGACCATAACTTCGTAAATTATGACCAGTAATAATTATCTCAATTTATTTTTCTTACCATTAAGACACCCTGCAAAATTTCTGAAAAAATATATCCGAATTTTCCCCTTATTTGTTAACACCATCTGAGCAGAGGAAGGACTGACACTAGTGACAGAGGGCAACAAATAGTATATCCCTCTTTGTGGCAGGGATAATAATTTGAGAAAGACAAACCTGGTATGTCCTGGGTGTAAAGGTATCTGTTGGTATGTCTTCATGTCGCAGAAATCTGGGTAGTCTTTTATTAAACTCTGGTCCACCTTTGACCATCTGTAAGAAATAACAGTTTTATGTTGTATTGACAAGGATATCCTCTGAATCAATCATCATCATCATCATAGTAATACCTGATCTTTTTGTATGGAAAATTAATGGTCAACATCAATATCAGTAAACATGGTGAAAGGTTATCCCCATATCACTAGATGTCGTCATTACCTACCCTTAATTATATGGATGCAACAATCACATGAAATATATTCACCAGCCTGTAATATGGGATTAGTCCATGCTTTCTTTCTTATACATGTAGCCCTTGAAAATACGTCCTCTATATCTCCAGGGCTCGCATTTCGGTAAACCTGCACTAACGCCTGAACCCATTCACAAGGTTTTCATGATCTTAAATTACCTGCCCTTGATTTTCATTAACATTTTACCTACCAATCAAACATTGAGATAAGGAAAAGGAAAATGGGTAAGGGAGGTAACTCATATTAATAAAATGAAACCAAAGCCACTGCCAAGTTTTATGGACATGGAGACATCCTTTCCATTAAAATGATTTTTGAGGGCTTTCTTTTACGATTCAGTCAGTTTTTCAACGTTGGATTTCTCACAAACTCTATCATAATCAATGGGACTGGCTGCTATGTTGTTTATATCATGTTATATCGCCAACCGAACATTGAGGCTGGTTTGTAACTTGCATTCTGATTGGCTATGCTACTAGGTCTAACATACCAATCAAATGGTTAAAGGAAATTAAGGGCAGGTAATCTAAGATCGTGAAAACCTTTAGAATGGGGCGAGAGTTAAGTGTAGGTTTACCAAAAGCGCACCCTGGATATGTTGAAAATACTAATTGCTTGAATTTCATATTCAGCTTAGCACTATTGTAGATGATTGTTGTCATAGTTGAGGTGAACATACTCTATCAGGTCATAGGAAAACCTATAATCATGATTATTGTCTAACAGTGTAACATATAAGGTTGAGAGCTGTAAACGGTATTTTAAAGTATCTACCAAAACAATACTTCAGAGGATGATTTATTGTTTAAAGATTTAACCAATGTTAGGTCACTTCATCATACAACCAAAGTACTGTTGTTCAAGGGACGCGTAGTAACTATCCTAGTAGTAGTATGATTTGTAAGTGAACTATTTCACTGTATTGCGTTAGAGAGTAAGGAGTATGGGATACACACCATACTAGTACGGTTTACTCAGTAAATCAAGATAAGTTCAGTTCGAATTACCCTGACTTTGTCGAATTTCTACATGCATAGGTGGAGTCTTCACGATATACACGACTTTGTTGCTGTGAATACAAGTATACTGCAACCATCAATCAGTGATTGAAACTGAAAATAGTCAATATCTGCTGATCATTTTTTGCAAAATCAAAACTATACCTTTAAGTTAGGAGACTTGATTGGCTTTCTTTCCAACCCCAAAAGTAGTTTTTACTTCATATTCATTCCAATTTGCGTCTCGCTTGCCAAAAATGCATTTACTTCGGTTTCTGATTCAGGTGAAAGCTCAAATTTGTAAATGCAGACGCTAAAACGCATGCGCTCGAAAAGGAAGTAACGCCTTACACCCTTATAACTAATTTCATTGGTTGGCGCTGGCGGAGGTAACTACATTGGCCAACCGTATGTAGCGTACTAAATTTGTCTCGGCAGGTTTGATACCCGGAAGCATGTGCACGATTTACAATTTCTGTAGCAGACGGAAAATGTTTGTATGTAGAAATGACTGAAATACTACCTGAACTTGCCGAGTTCAGGGTAAAAAAGGTATGTAGTCATCGTTATCCCAATGACTAGATCATTATCAGATTATTGTTATTTGCAATAACTTATTGTAATTGTAAACATGAATCAAAATGACCATGAATGCCAGCAGCATACAACGGACTGCCCTTCATAATGTTTACCTGTTTACAATGTATGACACTGATCGCCTTCGTCTTATGACCAGGTGATTACTTTAGTAGACATAAGTTTATACCTGAGTAATGTTTATCTGCTTAAATTATGGTCCTAAAAACATTTATTCATTAAAAATGCGTGTACAAGATTTAAGTGATAATTAATTTGTTAAGCGAGGAACACGAGTAACGTGGTTATAAACAGCGCATATCATTTTTTGGTTACAGTGATGACAGCACCTACCACATATTAGGTGTTTTTATTACAATATTCTACTTGGTTCTATATGTGCTGGTTTCATGAAATGTCATATTTTCTCCAATGTTTATGTAACAACCATAAAATGTCCGAGTCCCGTGATGGGATTCGAACCACGGACTTTCTGATCAGATGTCGGACGCGTTGTCCACATAAACAAAGAGGTTAACCCCGTCAGCAAGCTGACAAGGTAAGGGTGTCATCAGTGGGATGACTGCAAGCCCTGCTACACCTACTTATAGTTATTGTTCAATCTCTCAGACAGTATATAGTGTGGTTGACCTAGTGTACAAAAAGCGCTGCAATTTGATGTGCAGAGTTACATCCCTTTGTAATGCTAAGATCCACTAATTGTGGGTTCAAACCCTAGAAAGGGCCCAAATATGACCAGTCAGTACCATACAGGAATACAAATGACATGGGTTTTTTTCTTCACAGGAATGTCATTACATTTATAACTAACTCACTGAACTGGTTGTTCAAACCCTAAAATCATATTAATTACAAACTGTAGATGAGAAATTGTTTTCATACATAATTGTGTGTGTCAATTCTAAGACAAACCACGCACAGCAAGGACTTTTTTAAATTGCTTCTTGCCTTGCTTTTTTTATGTAGAGAGAGAAATGCTGGTGAGTAGTAGGCTGTATAATATGTTCATTCATATCATTGATGCAGGCTGCTCCAACCATCTACTACATTTCCGAGTTCATCACCAAAGACGAAGAAGAATCACTGCTCGCTAATGTATACGCTGCACCAAAACCCAAATGGACACACCTGTCAAATAGACGATTACAGAATTGGGGTAAATAAGTGCTTGAATTTCCAAGATCTCAGAACATGCTGATCAGTATATCAATCTGGAGGGACTCCATATAACCCATTTTTTACTAACACTGCTTTGACTTTACCTGTTTCAGGGGGCCTGCCTCATCCCAAGGGAATGATAGCAGAGGACATTCCTCAGGTAAGCATGTATCACTTTTATAAACTGAAAATATTCATTGATAATGCTGAAAAATATAAGTAGAAACATTGCTCAAATGGGTGAGTGAGAAGAATACTTGGGGCTGGGAATATTCCAAATGCTGTCTCAAGAGATGGGTACAAAATGTCCTACAAAATGTCCTATAGCCTTGGCAAAATGTATTTAGATACATGTATAAAACAATTTGGTAATGCATACACTGAAGTTGACTGAAGTTTTATCTTTATTCAAACATATACTGTAAAACAGGAAATTAATGCGGACACGATATTAATGCGAAAAATGCGAGTGACGGAAGGTCGTATTAATTTTATGCGCATTAATTTTGGACCATCAAAATAAGGAAACAATCAACAAACGAAATAAATCACTTCAGTATTATTTACTAGTATTACATCAAAACCAATGATATCAGATCATCACAAGTTGATAGCAGCCACTGACAACAATCAGCCACAAAGGTAATAGATAAATAAATTACTAGACAAAATAACAAAGTCCCCTACACAAAGTGAAGTTGAGTAGTGGTCAGTTCACATCCTGTCAAGCAGCCCAGATTGGCGCCAGCCACGAAATTATCCCATCAGTGTCCTTTACAAGCTTGTCAAGGGCTTTCTCTCATCTGGCCTACACCTTATATCGCCTACACCTCATATGGCCTTCACTAAATACAAATGGTTACTTCCACACCCCTGTTGTGTAGAATGGTACTGTCCATTAACCCATTAATGATTTCATTTATTAATATGAATTAATGACCTGAGTACATGGGCCTTTGAACTAATCTGATGTTTTCATAGTGGTATCTGATCCTTGAGTTTGTTTTGACTGTTTATGTAGGATTACTGTTATAATCCACTTTGATCATTTAACAGGTCTACTCATCTCAAAAGTTTTGTTAGTGTGTATACATTACCTTACCTGATACAATCCAATCTGAGCATTTTAACAGGTCTACTCATCCCCAAATTGTAAGTGTTTATATATATATACCTTAGTAAGTACTATTGTCTCTCATTACTTTGATCAACGAAATAGCTTTCACAATGTTAACAGGATCACCTCATCTCCAATTTAGGAAAAGGTATATATGTTAGTTTTTAAGTTTGTTGGACATTTCATCAAATTACAGTAATTTTGCTAGTAATGATGTAGTGCTAATGTTATAAAACATGAAGATGATGGATATAAATGTACAGTGCTATGATAATATATGTGTATTTATGATATTTGATGTTGTGAAAACATTTGAGTTGTGAAGATGATCTCATATACAAAATGAAATTACAGTATCAAAAGTCATTTACATTCTTTGATCTTGTTGGAAGAGTTCATTTTACTTAAGGGATAAGGGTACAAGTGTGATGTGCACTCATCCATAAATTTGTTTGGATAGTAGTGTAGGCGATATGTCTAAAATCAAGAGCTCGCATTATTTTCAAGTTGCATTAAATTCCTGTTTTACAGTAATAGTCAGAAGGAATCTGTACATAGTCAGAAAGAAATGTGAAGATTAGTGACTTGTAGTGTAACCATGGAGTTCTAGATAATTTTTGCCGTTGAAAAATATATCATATTACTAACCACGGGTCCGGGTAGTCCTGTGGGTACCCTGGTCCTACTCAGTATCCTCCCGACCCGAATACCCGAGTTACCCGTCCCAGCCCTACTACAGATTCACTACAATATGCAGCAGAGTCACTTCAACATACAACAGATTCACTACAGCATGCTACAGATTCACTTCAACATGCTACAGATTCACTACAGCATGCTACAGATTCACTTCAACATGAAGCAGATTCACTACAGCATGCTACAGATTCACTTCAACATGCAGCAGATTCACTACAGCATGCTACAGATTCACTACAGCATGCTACAGATTCACTTCAACATGCTACAGATTCTCTTCAACATGCTACAGATTTACTACAGATTCACTTCAACATGCTACAGATTCACTACAGCATGCTACAGATTCACTTCAACATGCTACAGATTCACTACAACATTTTTGTAGCAGCTCACAGGCACCGACCGCATCATCATAAATTCAGACGTTTGTTTCGTTATATTTTCCTTTAAAAAAAATAATGATTCTTAACACATTCCACATCTCAGACACATAACCCCGTAGTGAAATTCTACAGTACTTAAGAAGAACATGATTTTGCTGATATTATTGTAAACAAAATTTGGTTACATACTAGCTTGACCAACAACAACAAAAACACACTGCCCACCCACACTATATTTTCAAAAGCCATTGCCTGTGTACCAAACTCTTTTATTTTTTTAAGCCTGAAAGCAGAGAGCATATAATGATCTATTTTATGGTCTCTGCTTAAAGTGAAGACTTTTCCTTTTTTCAGTTGTGTGTTTGTATGCTTACAGTGGCTGCTCACGCAGTGTGGGAAGATCGGCAAGCTGGGGGTGTTTGATGGGAAGATGCCAAACCATGTGCTGGTCAATGAATACCTGCCTGGACAGGGTATTATGGTCAGTGGTCAGGGGACACAACTCTTATGATTACCAACAGGATCTTGATTTGTTATTATTGGTTGTCGTTTTGATTTGTTTTTAATCATACCAGTTACAGACTAAATTAGTCATATAATATTTATTTATGTTGAAAATAAATATAGATTGAATTTTGAAGGATAAAAGAAAGTGGACTACAAATTAGAATATGATTTACTTGGTTAATTTGAACAGAATATGCCATGCCTGAAAGTTGTTGTTTCTGGTATTGGTACTGAGTGAGTGAGTGAGTGAGTTGGGTTTAACGCCGCTTTTAACAGTATTCCAGTTATATCACGGCGTATCAGCTTAATGTGGGAGGAAAGCCCGAAGTGATGCAGGTCTCAGACATTTACCACTTCAGTGAAACCCACGAGCATGGGTATGGTGCTGACAAACCTGGAAACATAATGGGGACGAACCAGGATTCGAACCCACAATCATAGGTTTCTGGCGTGCCCAAGGGACGCAACTCTGCACAGCGAATCGCGGCGCCTTAGACGACTGGGCCACCCGTGCCCCTGGTATTGGTACTGATAGGTAGTACATACGGAGCAGTAAATTATCTTTTCTCAATAAAAGTTACAAGGTCCTGTATGAATCATGGGTTATCAAACAAATAGCACTTGTAGATCTAGCAGACTTGTTTTCTAGCAGACAAAGTAAATGTTGATCATATGACAGGTCAATAGATTAATCATGTGACTGGTCAATATTCAGGGTCAGTGTCAGTCACGTACATGGTTGGACCACACCTTTTCGGATCAGTTTTCTGTTGTAAGGTTAACATTGAAATACATTGTATATTGTTTCATCATGTGGCATTGATTAACAAGTAGCATTTGTTTGCTGCCATAACTCCACAG